GTGGATTGTAAACATCCAGTTGCTCTCAACAGTGCCTGTCTATGTACAGTTCTGTATGTAGATATAGCTTTGTCTGTTACAGTGGAGATTATGCTAATGCCATATTCTAAATTAGGTTGTACCAGACTCTTGTAAAGGTTGCAGAATACAGATTGTGAGCATCCTGAGTTAGTGCTTGTGAAGTTTGAGATTTGTTTTAGTGCACCAAAACCTTTCTTTTGTCTTTCTAGAATATGTTGATCAAAACTCAGTTCCTGATCTAGTGTGATGCCAAGTAACTTGGTTGACTCTACAACATCTAGAGATTCGTTGTCTAATTTAATGTCAACAGTAGGTTTGACTTTTTTTGGTGGGCTAAATACGATCACTTTGCATTTGCTTAGAGAAATGCTCATATTCCAAGCCTCACACCATGAGGATAGTATTTTGAGGTCCTCATTTAGTGAGATTTCTATGGTCCTGTAGTCCGTTCCACTTTGCCACAATACTATGTCGTCTGCATATTCTCCATGGCTTGCCTTCACTCCTGTGAGGGCATCAGCTGTATAGGCATTGCAGAGGGATGGGGAGATTACGGCCCCCTGAGGGATACCTACACTTGATGTCCTAAGCTCGGATGTGTATTTGTTTACAGTTAGAGAGTACTGACGATTATGTAGATACTCTGAGATGTAGCAAAGAAGTCTGCCCCTCAGTCCGTTGTTATAGAGCTTCGCTATCAGACCGTCTCTCCAGACCCTCTCAAAACAAGAGTCATAGTCAATAGTGACCGCTACCACTGTTTCTTGTTTATTCCAGCTGTCTTGTATGGCCTGTGTGAGCCTAAGAATTGTGTGATTGCAGCTTCGGTAGATTCTGTATGAGTCCTGGAATTGAGAAAATAAATTATTTGTTTCAGCAAACCATACAAATCTTTCACATGTTATGTGTTCGTATAATTTGCCCAGGATAGACTCTAAAGTGATAGGTCGGTACGCTCCATCAACATTGTAGTTGGACTTCGATGGCTTTGGGATCATGTTTTTTGGGTCGATTTTAAATTCCTTTGGCAGGATCCCTTTTTTCCAACACTTTTGGAAAAGTTTGAGTATTACAGTGATAAACTTCATGCCTGCTTTTTTGATGAATATATAGAAGATCTTTTCCCTAGGGTCGGGGGCAGATAAATTGTTTGATTTGTTTATTGCTGCAATAAGCTCACTGAGGTTTAGGTCTTTGTTTTCAATGCTACTTTCGCTGTTATAGCTGGGCAGACTAATTTCAAGCTGTTCTAGGCTGACCGCTAAGTTTGCACAAGTTTCTATTTGGCTTTGCCAGGTTTTGTTTTTGATTGACAGATCTTCTTTACCATATTTTACAAGAAATTCATTGGCTATTTCGCTATCAGAGATAGCAAAAGTGCCATCTTTGCGTATCAGAGGTTGGACGCTCTGTCTCATTTGACCAGAGTTGTTGTAGTTTTTAACCACTTTCCACATTTTGTTTGTGTTTTTCAAATCCAGCTGTTTGAAAAGATTTGACCAATATTGCTCTTTATAGCGATCAGCCATCATAGTGAATTCACTTGCAAGAAGCGAGTAATGGTCCCAGTTTTTAGGATCAGACCTTTTGTTAAAAATTCGTTTCGCTTTCCTTACTTCCTTAACTTTCTTGGTAAGTTCGGGGCACCACCATCCTTTGCTGTGTTTACTGATCTTCTTCTTCTTGAGTGTACCTTCAGCAGTGGAGAGAATTGCTTCACAGATGCTGGAGTAGTCCTGGTCAACACTGCTGGAATCTGTAATATTCATAAGAAGTAGCTCAGCTTTTTCATTACACAGTTTCTCAAACTCATGCCAGTTAGCATTATTAAAATCCCATTTTTCTATGACAGGGTTGTCTACACTAATTCCCACCTCAAATTCGATTAAAGAGTGATCTGATCTGAGATAGATTTCACTTCTGACGCACCAATTGTTTATCTTTGAACATAGAGTGCTTGAAGTTAGAGTAAGGTCAATTACTTCATCACCTCTTGTGGGAGACCTGTTGTTTGCCATGTAAAGCTGGTTTGCATTGATATAATTTAGCAGGATGTCACCCATCCTATTATTTTTAGTGCAGTACCATGAAGTATGTTTGGCATTAAAGTCTCCTGTAAGGATGATTGGTAAGGACCCCTTTAAAGCAATGTCAACCATCTCAAGAAAGTTGATCATGCCATCATGATCATCTGGAGGGATGTAGGCAGAGCATAGCAAGAAGCTGTGGTTGCTGTTGTAGATATTAGCCCACACAGCCTCTATACCTGGCTTGACTAGGTCCCCCCTTTCTATAAGTTTAACATCCTTGGATGTAACTATTGCTGTCCCCCCTCCTTGTCTGTTCGGTCTTGTTGATTTGACCCAATTCCAGTGTTTCAGAATTTTGAATTTAGAAAAATCAGGGTGCCAGATTTCTGAGAGACAAAGAATTTTGGTATCTTTTGTGCAAAGTTTTTCAATGTATTGTACTGACGTGTTAACTGACCTCACGTTTGCTTGATTAATTCTCATGATTGGTTGATATGACAGGAGGAGGGTTAGCAAGATTATTTCTATGTATGTAAGAAGGACACTTGGGGTCAGATGCTTTATGTCCCCTCCCACAGTTGGCACATCTGCTTGGTCTTTTACATATTGTGTTTTCCTGAAAGTCATCATGTGTACACCCACAGTTGTGACACCTTTTCTCTGCTGTGCAAGTATTGGCAATGTGGTTGAACCTTTGGCAGTTAAAACATCTTGTCACTCTGTGTTTGGCTGTTATGTGAGTTTTGATTTTACAAGTCTTGTTGTCAATGTTTATGGTTTTGCAGAGTAAGTCATTAAGATCCGATCTAGTTTTGCAAGTGACACTTATTACGGGCATTGGCTTACCTGTGTCAGTGTAAGTTAGTCTTCTAACAGTGGTTCTGGTCCCTGTTTGTTCGGCAATTTGTTCTTCAAGTGAAGTTTCCGAGAACAGTGGGTTTACGTTCTTCACAATGCACTTGTAGTTGGAATTTGGTTCATGTATGTGGATAAGATGCCCTCTATTGTTGAAGGCTTCCTCCGGCCAGCTGCTCAGGAGTTCTTCCTTGTCTTCCTCCCTACAATAATGAATTGCTATACCTCCACGTGGCAAAGAGTAGCAATATGCAATTTTCACCTTAGGCTTAAACTTGTTTAATTCCTGTTTTATGCTATTGCTATTTATAAAAGCTCCGGATTTTAAATTATCAATAATCAAAATATTGGATTGTTTGAATTTATTGCTATCGGGGTCATTGTCTCTCCAACTTTTGCTTTTGGCCTTAGTGGCATTAGTTGTGGTTGTATGAACATTTAATTCCTCAGGGATTTTTCCACCTGTACCATTATTTAGGACTTCTTTTACAGGTGTTTGTATATTTTTAATTATGCAAAAAGGACAGTGAAAGTTGAGATTTTGCTTTTCAAAAATGTTGCAAATTTGGTTAGTTAATGACACGCAATTGCTGTGCCACCATTGATCACAATCGCTGCAACAGATCCAGGTAATTTTTTGTTTCTTTCCTTTAGGCCCTTTTTCCGTAGTTAGTGTTCTTTTGCAGGGACATGTGTTAGCATCCATTTGTTAGTACAGTGAATTAAGCATGGTCATACAGAAAGCATTCAAGTTGTTAGTTGTTGTCTCGCACAGCAAGCTTAAGATGCCAAGCATAAATATTGTAGTGTTGACACAGACAATGGACGTGTCTGTCTGACTGTGAGCAAGATATCTTGCCAGAGTGAGCTTAGGTCTCCAGTTGACGTCGTGATTAATAGCTGCAAGCAGGATGTTACAAGCAATATGTTATGCAAAGCCTAGCAAAATATGAGTGAGTTGTGTGGGTGAGCTAAGCTACATATAAAGCAAAGCAGATTATTCTATGCTGTTCTTTACAGGGCTTCTTTATATTGATATGCAGGTTTGCTGAAAGAAAATTAGGCTGTAGGTCAGTTCCTCTTAGTTTGTGTTGTAGCCTCCAGGCGATCCCCTCTGTGGCATCGATTTTAATATTCAGAAACGGGGGTTCTTTAAAATAAATGTTAGTGTTTTGCAACCGTCTATATAATTGAAATGTTGCAAGCTAGCTGCTTAGGAAGCCTGAGCTTATTTAAAAAGTATGTCTTAGATGTAAGCTACCCTGCCTAAAATAAATCCTTTTATGACGCAAATAAAAATTAAAAGCAGGCGGCACAGAGTTACTAACTAACAGTACTTAACTATTTATAGCTACCTAACCAGTGGAGTTGTTTGTTTTAGATATTGAGGCTTAGACTGCCAGAAAAAAACTGTGTTGTGTTTCTTTGTCAGCAAGGGTCTTCCCTCTAGGAACTCCCTGTACGGGTATAGCTGTATCAGTGTGCGAAGCCCAGGGCTGTGATGTGACACGTTTGGTTGGCTGGATAGACACAAGGAGATTGCAGAGCAATAGTAGACTTGTACAAAACGAGTTTTCGGACCAATTCATATGGAAATTTCCAGATTCCAAATCCAAGATGGCGTTTCCAAAATTCAATTTCACTAAAATTTCCTATCTTGAGTCTATGAATTTCTTCCTTTTCTGAACTCACTTCGTCCTATAGTCTCTGCAAAAGTTGTCCCAGAATGTTCACAAGATCTTATCGTGTCTAATTTGAGCTGAAGGAATCTTATTTATGTGACAAAAGGATATTTTTTGCTAAAAAATCTTCACGAGGTTCTGACCGGCGGCCATTGCAGTGAAAAAATGTTCATGCCTCAGCTTTGCACTTTTATTTTTACGTTCCTTCCGCCATGTTGTGAAAATTATATACGAATCGATCCCTACCACGCTGTTTGCGATTGTTAACAATATATGCTTAAAAATTATTTTTATTCAATAGGAATTGATGTTTGTAACTCAAAACTCATTAAATATCCCAAAATATCCCCGATTAGTCCGAAATCTTACAGTAGAATTTCACATATTTTCGTTCGGTGTACTCCATAAAATAAACAAATACTGTATGCTCCTACTACCATAATAGGTCATTGGCGCCATTTTACACATGGTTTTATCGTTTCGCAATATTCACAATGTTTATAAGGTGACACGGGGACTCAGGGGTTATAAAATGTCGCAATCTATCGGAACCAACAACAACAAAGTGTATAGACTTGTCTTGACTGGTGGTAAGCATTTCATTTAAACATTTTCTGTATTGAAATTGTAAACAAAGATTTTATGAATCAGAAATGTGATCCACGATTTCCTTTTCATAGGAATCTCATTATCACCTAATAAACCGCCATATTGCTGTTTACATTGTAGACATTTTCTTAAACGTTTGTTTGAGAAATCGAGGGAATGATTTGATAGTTTCAGGTAACATAGAAGAGTTGTCAAATAGACTATCGCTTGTGATTCTGATCTTGGAATAAAATCCCAGTTCTGATTGAAATATTTTTGCAAGGGACCAAGGGGGGAGATTTCCCAAAGATGACCTTTCGTATTGGCGCTTTCGAATTTTATCAACAGGCCTCATTTGCCTTTGAAATGGATCTCCAAATGTTCGCTCTAGTTTTATGAGTATTCTCTACAAGTATGGATCGAGTAACTTCAATAGTATTACCGAACGTTTCAAATGATGATGTTGAACTGATGATAACGCCGTTCCCACGATTTCAAATTTAACTTTGCGCATGCGCAGCACTGAGCGAGCACATGCTCATGATTGTTCACGTGATCACATCATGCAATTTGATTGGAGATGATGTTGGAGATGACGTAAGTGGGAATCCCCGAATATGATAGAATATGAAAGAATTGTGGGAGCTATATCAGGCCTGTCAACTGTCCCGCAATTTGCGTATTTGTCACGCATTTGCTGAAGAATTTGAAGTCACGCCAGTTATTTTTGCGTGACAGAAAATGTCACGCAAATACGCATTTTACCTGGTAATTGTCAAGCAAAAATATTTCTGTAGAAAAATTTCTAAAAAAGATCGTCTACACAGCCAAAATACGAACGCCGGAAAAAAAACGTACGCATTTCGTTCGGACTTTTCACGCGAATTACGTATATGTCACGCATTCCGTTCGAAATTTTTCGTACCTACACTTTACAGTATGTGGCCCTGTGGATAATTAGTTGAACTACAACACCTGAACACAGGTTTCTTCTTAAATATGTTCATGTTGAATTCTTATAAGTGTCCTGGGACTAAATTTCTCAAAATATCGGTATTACAAAAGCCACTTTTCTGGTGATTTGTCTTGGGCTTCGGCATTTGGATTTAACCAATAGCATTCTTTTGCAGAAAAACTGATATTTGGTTACCATCTTTTTCCTGTCAGATTAGATTGATTTGATGCCAAAGCCAAAATTGCTCATGCTGCAAATACATGTACCTACCAAAATTATTAAGAGTGAACCCGCCGGGGCCAAAATATGACCAAATAATTTCCTCTCCTGCTTACCACCTTCATTTGTCAGAATTTCCACTATCCAGTTTCACCATCTATTGATGTTTATCGATAAGCTGTGCTAAACATGAAGGAAATCGACATCATATAATATTCAAAATGTTTTTATAACATTATAAACATTTGAATCTGCTGTATTTTGGTCATTTGACCAATCAGTGATGATTGACAAATATGGTCATATCGGCACCTTGGGGCTCTCCCACTTGTTGTAAATCAATGTGTGTCCACAGAACAGCTCTAATGGCGTCTCTCATAGAGATTATGTTGATAATTAAAATGCGAATATATTTAGAGAGATATGGGCTTTCAAGAAAACCCAATTCGAGATCCATAATCAGACCTCCTTCACATAATTGCACTATAAGCATGGACATAATTGTTAGTAAGTGATCTCCCCCTAACATTAAAGCAGTAGCACCCAGTTGAACGCTTGAAAATAATAAAAAGTCCCCCCCCCTTCCCCAGTTGAAAACCTTTAACACCCTCTTGTGAGGTTGCTGGTGAAATATGTGATATGGTTTGTTTATTTTAGGTCCATGTGGTGGGAAAACAACTGGACAGTCAAGGATATGTTCATTTTTTGAGAGTATTGGATGGAAGGTATGTTGTCTTTTATTTCCCTATTCTGCAAGTCTATGATATTCTATGTTGCCAGGTATATAATTTCTATTCTATATAAGATGGTATTTTGATTGTTTTTTACCATTCCTTGCTTATTTCGCTCATATCAATTCAATTTCATAAGATAATTACCTATTTAGCCATGATGATGATTTAAGCTACGATGTTGATTTTAGCTACAATGATGGATTCATATGATGAATTTCATTGTTGGGTGAAACCCCTTGATGTTATCCAATTTTGTTGATTTAAGATTGGCATTGAAAGAACAAGGTCACTTTGGAGATTACTGTACTGTGTATCATTTGTGCATGTTAGGTCTAGAGCTAATCTACTTAGAGTGTTAAGGCTTTGTACCAATCTCAATTTTAACACCCTTTTAGCCTTCTCATACTGTTCAATCAGTTTACCAATCCTCCAATTTCACCACATGTACTTGGCACCAACCCCTCTGGTCCCTGGGATACCTTTTGATGCACATTCAAAACAAAACAGCTAAATATTATACTTAAAAGTAGCAACATGGACTGCCTTGTCGTATCCAGTGATCCTGGGCCTATCGTAAAATGAAAGCTTTGAACGTGTTATAGCCTTTAAAGGTGTATCTATTCTCCATGTATGCAACTAGAATTTGTGCACATAGGCCTACCTTATATCGATCGATAATGGCAAAAGAAAATCCTCTAATTCTTCGTCTTTATCTCCTTTGTCTCTGCCATTTTTATAAAACCGGAAGTTTGTTCTCTAATGTCCGCACAATATTTTTTCACTTTTATTACAGATTACGCTTTGGATTCGACGTCTAATGCTTTCTAATAATCGTCAAGTGATTTCTATGACAAATGTTTTTATAAAAATACTCACACTATCTGAGATCTTATCGACTCGAGCAGCAAGAAAAATGTGTTTCAATTTCACCCGCTAGGTGTTTCGTTGACTTGGAAAGAATTTAAAATATCTATAAGTGGGACTCCTTTGTATAGAACTATAGATTCTAAACGATTTGTCAGTTCTACTGGTTGATGAATATTCCCATGCATACATTTTAATAAAATAGGAATAAGGAAGAAGATGTTTGACCAAACTTCGCCCTGATCGCTCAGAAAAGGTAAACTTTATCCATTTTTCTCGTCACAGTCCTTGTTGCTGCTTTAATTTTACATGTAAGTGATGGCCAACCTATAATGCCAATATGGCGATTGGTGGCCGAAAATGTATTGACTTTACCTCAATAAAGGTTTATACTATAAAAAAATCAGTCCTCCAGGTTTTCCATTTTTAACAATCATTGCTCATGTTGGTAATTGGTAACCATGATTCGTAAGGTTACAACTTTTATATAACCACCTTGGAAGTTGAACTATTGAAGATGTCATCCTTGAGTTCCTGACTAATATGTCATTGTGATAACATCAAAGAGTCGATAAAAGATATAAAGAAGCATTCCAAAACATAACCAAAATTGGGACAAGTTTAAGGTGAAGTGATAATTAGTTACTTCCTGCGAAAGCTATTTGGATTTTGATATAATAGCTTTCCCACGGAGCATTTGGACAGCTCAGTGATCGTGACCTTTGAAATCGAATTAAGTAGATCCGCGGCTTACTTTTGGTCTCTAACTGTGTCTTACATCAGTATCATCAATCCGTGTAAGTATTGAAGCGCTGGAGTACTTCTTTTTCGATCAAGACTTGTAATTGTTAGGTCGAGTGAATCGTTTTACTGCCAAATTCCAATATGGCGGTTTCTGCTCGGACATTTTCGTAAATCTCCGGAGGTTGTCCGAACCTAACTAATTCTCAAAATTCATTTCGTTCGTTGCGTATCTCGCACCTAGCAAACCGCCATATTGGAAATAGGTCTGTAAAACTTTAACTCGATGAACAATTTACAAGTCTTGATCGAAAAAGAAGTACTCCAGCGCTCCAATACTTACACGGATTGATGATACTGATGTAAGACACAGTTAGAGACCAAAAGTAAGCCGCGGATCGACTTAATTCAGTTTCAAAGGTCACTATTGATCAGCTGTTCACTTCTCCGTTTGAGAGCCATAAGTTTCAAAATCTAACATGGCTCTCGAAGTGAGTAAATAATTAGCTGTATGTTTCATTTTTTCAGTAAGTGTGGTTGGATGTGAAATCTGATACCCTCAATTAAGCTTACTTTTTTCTTTTTATATGCTACTCTAGTTGCATGTTAAGTGTGGAACTCTACATGTTTCATTCTGTATGAAAAAGATAATTTCTGGTTTGCAAGGTGAAGGTTTATTTACCCTTGCAAAAAATGTCATGAAATGGAAATTTTCAAAATTTAAAAATACGGAAATAAAAGGAAATAAAAGAGAACGCAGAGAAATAGTCATAGTCATAATTCATGTTTTTTTACACTGTAAACTAAAGCTATTTTTACTAAGAATGCCCAAAAGTCAGATTGCATTCAAATTTTAGAGGGATATGATATAGAATAGGCATGGATAGAGAGAGAAGTTTATGCATTTATTTCTGACTGGCCTTGGTATGATCTAAATACAGACTGAACTATAACCTGTTCAGGTTACTGTAAGATGTACATGTTAGTACAACTTATATCATATTATGAAGGTACATGAAGGGATTAGAGAGGATAATCAACATTAGAGAGAACCTGAATGGAAAATTTTTTCCCAGATATTGTTGTTTACCACTGTTGTTTACCTCTCAATTCATCACAGTAACCAACGCATCCCTTTGTCTTGAACTTACTCTGCAAATGACAGATATGAAAAGTTTCCCTGCTAATGACAGATATGAGAACTTTTCCTGAAAATGACAGATATGAGAACTTTCCCTACAAATGACAGATTTAGAACTTTCTCTGCAAAATGGCAGATATGAGAACTTAACCTGCAAAGGACAGATATGAGAACTTTCTCTGCAAATGGCAGATATGAGAACTTTCTTGAGAATGACAGATATCAGAACTTTCTCTGCAAATGACAAATATGAGAACTTAACCTGCAAATGACATAAATGAGAACTTTCCTTGCAAATGACAGATTTGAGAACTTTCTCTGCAAACAACAAATATGAGAACTTAACCTGCAAATGACATATATGAGAACTTTCCTTGCAAATGACAGATATGAGAACTTTCTCTGCAAACGACAAATATGAGAATTTAACCTGCAAATGACAGATATGAGAACTTTCCCTGCAAATGACAGATATGAGAACTTTCCCTGCAAACAACAGATATGAGCACTTTCTCTGCAAATGACAGATATCAGAACTTTCCCTGCAAACGACAGATAAGATATTTCCCTGCAAAAAAACAGATGAGGGGAATCTGGTCAAAATGAAAGCTCATTATTGGTTTTACAGGGATCTGATAACAACTGTTCCAAACACTTTTGTCATTCTCAATTTTGCAAATAAAGGTCAGTGGGAATAACATTGTCAATAGGTACCATCATTTTACATGTTTCAGGTTAGATTCTGCCTCGGAACAGTGTTAATTTAACACGTGTGTTCATGGTGATCACCATGTACATTCATGTTCTAAGTTTATCCTTTACCTTAAAGTGGCAGCAAGATATGACTCAAGGAATACACCAGTCAATTTCACAGTATGGCAAAATGTTGGAAATAATCTTTATAAAAAAGAAAGTGTCCAGTATAATCATACAGATGGTTTGAAATAGGTTGGAATGTGTAACCTTTCATGTAAGGAAGGTTGCATTTCTAGAGCACTTCTACAGAATGGGTTACAGTCTATTAGATCCATACTGTATTGTGGAAACCTTTAAATGTTCGATTTTTTGATTTTTTAAATTATTTTGTTTTTATATTCTCTCAACAGCCAAATATTAAATATATTGTACCCTTTTGTTATATTTACAATTTTAGAGAGAAGATTTTGCTAAAAATCCTCAAATTGCATAGTTAGTGCAGAGGCAGATAGTGGCAAACTACCTGTAGTTTTAATTATAGCACCAGTCAGTAAATCAAGATAATAAACAAATACCCACCAGTGGTTTAATAATAGCTTATAAATCGATAACAACATATGTGCAGTGCTTGCTCAAAGATGGAATCCCTTGAAATTGTCCTGTAAATATACCGCATGTTCCTTTCTTTTTTAAAAAGTATTGCTTATTTAACTATTTACATAAAGTTATATTTTGTAAAGCCTTTGAGAGTTTTTAAGATGACATCTCTTTCATGAAAAGGTATTTAACCCTTAAACAGTTCGCTATTAGGAATTACACCAATGGTTAAGGCCCCCCCCCACCCCTCACTAATATCTTGAAAATGAGCAATCATATGAGGTTGTATTAGGTTAGGTTGAATTGGAAAGGTTATTCAATTCACATTTTTTTAACTGACTTAACAACTGTATTGCGCCATTATTGATGAAATTTTCATTTTCTAAGAACATGGGGGTTTATCATTTCAAGTCAAAACTACTGACAATTTGTGTACGTGAATTTGACCAGCTCTACTTTTCATCTTAGGGGGTAGAGTCATGAATTTTTTGCTAAAGCACCCTTAATTTTATCCCGCAAAAGAAGTTCGATGGGATATAGGGACCCTTCAGTACGTCCGTACATCCAGCGATAACTCAAATACTGTTAGCCCGATTTTGTTCATGTTTTTGTTCACATGTACATGTATACCCTATGGAGGTAGAAGTTCTGCTCAAGAGCAAATTATCATTATTTTAATGCTGAATTTCGAGTAATTTAGGTACAATATATAAAATTGAAATAGCAATATTGTGTTTTAAATGTAAAAAAGTTATATAGGAAATTAATGAAGCTAGAAATGTAGATATTTGATAACACATGGCTTTTTGGCAGTCATCTTAAAAAATGGAGGCCTTTACATGCTATTTTACAACTTTTGCTGTAACTTGAAAAGTTGTAGATATAAGAAGAAATTTTGTTCATATTAGATATGTGATATATTAGATATTCATATTAGATATGTGAATACTAAACGTGGCACACTATCTAGTGATATTTTGGTATAGGCTACCATTTTGAAAAATGGTCGCCATTTACGTGTACTTGTGAGAAATTTTGTTGAAATTTTATATTATGTGCCTACCTAGAAGCATATTACACTTTCTGTCAACGGTTTGGCTTGTGAATGACCATTTTGAAAAATGATTGCCATTTTTATGGGTGTATTTATGATTTTTCCTATAACTGAAAAAGTTGTTAGGAATTTTGTAGAATGGTGATTTTCTACGCTTTGGCATTGCTGTTATCTAGTTCAATTTTAAGAAAAGCCAGAAAGTTTCAGATCAAAAGACAAATTACGAAAAAAGTTATCAAAAAGTGTTCTATTGGTGAGTTTTTCCACTTAAAGTGGAGTTAATTTTATTTATCTATTTTAATTATATATTTATTAAATCAATGCATTGGAATTACACAATAAGCAGGTCCTTTAAGAAAGATGTTCTGATTTAAAGGTTTTATATGTTCTGATTTAAAGGCTTTATTGTATTTCCAGGTCTACAGGGTACCAGAGACAGCAACAGTACTCCTAAGCGGTGGAATTAAGTTCCCAGAACTCTCAGCTGAGGATGGTGAGTAGAATGGTATTGGACAACCTCCTTTGTTTTAACCTACTTTGTCCACATTGATATATATTAATGACATCGATGGTATGATTTTGAAAAATCAAGGGATAAAGTTATTTCAGAATATGTCATTGAATTTTGAAAAATGAATTCTTGATGTTTCTCAAAAAACAGCAATGGCTCAAGGAAACACAATTGTAACATATTTTTGTAGGCTTGAATTTTTTCTTTTCAGCGTACAACTTCCAAGAGAATCTCCTAAATACAATGCTTAGGATTGAAGATACATATTTTGATCTCGCATCCACATGTAAACGTAATTGCCTCGTTATATGTGACCGGGGCGTCATGGATGCCACCGCATGTAAGTTGACATTCTGTTGAGTCAAACATCTAATACTTTTTTTCTGCAAAATTATGAAGTAACCAAACACCAGAATAAGTATATTTAGTCTAGATATATCATCAAACATTTTTTGTGTAATTTTGAACATCTGCACTTTAAGTTAACGTAATCACCTTTTTATTTTAGACCTTTTCCGTGTCCTAATGTTTCAGGATGTTATTATTATCCCATCGAACGAAGTTCGGAGGGATATAGGGAATGCCTCCGTCCGTCCGTCCGTCCGTACGTACGTGGCCACTCATTTCAAAATGGCGGCCATTTTAGTGCCGAATTTACAGTAATTTAGGTGCAATATGTAAAACTGTAATAGCAATATGTTTTAGATGTAAAAAAATTATATAGGACATTAATAAAGCTAGAAATGTAGATATTAAAGAAGCACATGGCAGCCATCTTGAAAAATGGCGGCCTTTACTCGTTATTTTACGATTTTTGCTGTAACTCGAAAAGTAGTGGAGCGATTTTGTTCATATTTGGTATGTGAATACTATAAACATTGCACACTGTCTAAAGACACTTTTGGTAGAAGGTGGCCATTTTGAAAAATGGCCGCCACTTTGAAAAATGGCCACCATTTTAACGTATTTTACTATAACTCGAAAAGTAGTGGAGCGATTTTGTTCATATTTGGTATGTGAATATTATAAGCATGACACACTGTCCTATGACACTTTTTAACGTATTTTACTATAACTCGAAAAGTAGTGGAGCAATTTTGTTTATATTTGGTATGTAAATACTATAAGCACGGCACACTGTCTTATGGCATTTTTGGTAGAAGGTGGCCATTTTGAAAAATGGCCGCCATTTAAACGTTTTTTACTATAACTTGAAAAGTAGTGGAGCGATTTTGTTCATATTTGGTATATGAATACTATAAGCATGGCACATGGTCTAATGACACTTTTGGTAGAAGGCGGCCATTTTGAAAAATTGCTGCCATTTTTGCTTTATACTTTGTTTGTAAAAATGCCATCCATGGCTGTTCGATGGGATTCGCTACGCTTTGGCGTTGCCGTTGTTCTAGTTAGAATAGGAAGAATGATTCAGTAAATTAAAAGAGACATTTTGAAAGCATGTAATAAAGAGAAATTGTTTTCATCATTATGAGAATATGCATGACTTGAGGGCAGACTTCTTTATGCTTTGTGGCTGGCAAATGCTTTAATTAAATCAAATTTTATTATCATGAGGACTTAATTTGGACGAAAACATATCGGATGGAAAATGTCTGAACAACAACGCAATGCGTTATTAGATTAGATGCAGGGGTAAGTGATATTTTTTCATGGGTTGCATTTTTATTTGATCACCCTGTACAAAAATTCAGTCCTTAGACAGGAGACTTTTGTTTTGTAGACATCCCGAATGGAAACAGTTGCTTAGGTAACCTGTAGTGACATCATCCATTGTTCCTGTATATGAACTGTGTGTTATGGACCTTGTCTCTAAAAATGACAGTCATGTTTTGAAATGCAAAATAGAGTGCAAAAGAGACGAATTAGCTAAATATAATGTACACAGGCATGAAGAGAAAACTCTAAATTGTATAGAAATGTCTGAAAATAACTTACTTCTAGAGAGAAGGTGTGGAAATGCATGACTGCAGTCAGTAACATGGACGGGTACTTTGAAGCACCTTTATGAGTTCCAACAGGCAAAATGCCTGTCACTAATATAAAACAGTCACACGATGCACACTGAATTCTACAAGTTATTGATTATGTCATTTAGTGGATGGGAAACCAAATTGAAGCTTGTTAATATCATAATGGCACCCTTGGGTGCTCTGCTATTTCAATAACGCCGTCCAAGTATTGCAAAAACGTAATGAAAAATCCATGGACCCGGAAATAAAAAGTGATTGCGTTTTGTGGACGCAGTGCAAGCCATACTCATACAATCAACTTTGGATGAATGATTTGATAAAGATCTTACCTTCAGTCTCTTTATTTCGTCAGAATCCAATAAATAATTGAAGAAAATTCTATTTCTAAAAGAAATAAAATTTTCTTTCGAAATTTCCTTCCCGGAAGTTGATTTCTGATCGAAATAGTACGAGGCATGTGATAGGACAAAAATTTATACAATACTCGATTTCCGAGCAGTAATCAGTATGAGTCCTACGATTGGCCGGTAGCTTAAGACCTGATTCAAACCATTTTCAATTGGTCAAGTGTGATCACGTGATCATTATTTGAGACTGCATATGCGCAAGAAACTGAACTAAAAAGTTGAACCTCGCGCAGATTGCCCCTAAACTAAACATGCTAAAGCAAAATCAATAGCAAATTGTTTCGAAATTCGCAAGGAAAAGGTGTTTTAAATGGGAGAATATAAGTTATGATGGTATCTGTATCATTCAATGACATACTAGACTTGCAAGAACGCTGATTCAGACCGATAAATAGCAAAAGCAGTGGTACAAAATTTCATCAATTTATTTCATCCAGTGTAAAAACGTGACTTTTGAATTCCCGGGAACATTTTTTCAAGGGACGCAGTTTTTTGAAGGGAGACGCATTTTTTGAAAATCATTACGTCCAAGGGACGCAATTTTGGACAAGCCTACTGAAAACACTGGTGCTGTATTGTGATCAGTTTGGCATATAGGTGGCGATAAGCATCCAAATGAATCATGTTTTTTATTCAAAATTATTTTCAAAATGTTGACAATTTAAGAAGGGTATGATGTACGAACATGTAGAATCTTGTGTAAACTGTTGAGCTCTTCAACTAATATAAATATGCTTTTCTGGATTTTTGAATATTTTGTATATGTTCCTATTCCAGATTTACATTACATTACATCGGTGCCATCATGAAAGTCATGTGACTATATTGAACCAATCATATGATGTAAATGTAGTCACATGACCTTCTGTAGGGCTTAATGCTTGTGCTGACCATATATTGCGCATATGACCTCAGTATCATGATAACACCTGTCTTTTAAATAGATATTTTATCACAGATGTACTCTCTGAATTATTGGACCCTGTTCTGTTGTTTTAAAAGTCACTTTGTACCTGGTATCCTTTGTTCAATTCTAGGGGGTATTCCACTGTATGGGGAGTTTCACTCTTCACAGAAGTAAATTCTATAGGAATTCCCCCTCCACAGGGTGTTACCCTTTACAGGTTGTTACCCTCTACAGGTTGTAACCCTCTACAGGTTGTTACCCTCTACAGGTTGTAACCCTCAACAGGATGTTACCCTCTACAGGCTGTTACCCTCAACAGGATGTTACCCTCTACAGGCTGTTACCCTCTATAGGTTGTTACCCTCTATAGGTTGTTACCCTCTACAGGTTGTAACCCTCAACATGATGCTACCATCTACAGGCTGTTACCCTCTATAGGTTGTTACCCTCTATAGGTTGTTACCCTCTACAGGTTGTAACCCTCAACATGATGCTACCATCTACAGGCTGTTACCCTCTATAGGTTGTTACCCTCAACAGGATGCTACCCTCTACAGGCTGTTACCCTCTACAGGATGTTACCCTCTACAGGGTGTTACCCTTTCCAGGGTGCTACCCTCTACAAGGTTCTCCTCTCTACAGGGTGCAGGGTGTTGTACTTTTAAGGGTGTTCCAGCTTACAGTTTCACACTACAGGGTGCTCCCATCTATGGGGTGTTCCACTCTACAGGGTGTTCAACTTATACGGATGTTTCACTCTTCAGAATCGCTCTAGAGGATGTTCCCCTCTACAGGGGTTTCCCCCTGTGTTCTACTTAACCCAGAGTTTCACACTACAGTCCTTTCCCCTATAAAATCACAACACAAGGTGCATGCACATATTCTGAAAATTCATTATTAATCATGGATTATGGGATCTTTAACTTTAGTTAGAATCTACCTTGATGACTAACATTTTAATGATGGCATGTTATGTGAGATATTTCTCAGTAGTTATGATGTTTCTCAAAGAAAATTGAGTTAAATGTTTGAAATTTACAAGTAATTGTAAAGAAATAGGGAGATAGTTCATTCAGTTTTCCAAAGTGTTACATTTCTCTCATGTTCCATAAATATCATGTGGCCCACAAACAAGATAATCAAGGCAAAATGTCTTAATTGCAAACATCAGTCATCTATTTTACACCATGACATCTTTGGGTTTGTGTTATTATATTCAGGGTGTCTCAAAAGCGCAAATAGCTCTATATTTGAACAGTTGGTGTAGAATTAAGAAAATTGAACAGTCATATTATTTTGGGACACCCTGTACATCAACTAGAGTTGCAACTCATGTGAGCTGGCTATGGGTTTGTGTAATAGTGTTAATTGAGATCCTTTTACTTCCTGACTACTAACTGTATATGATTAAAATAACCTCCAAATCAGGGCTCCATACTTATTTCAAGATCTGGAAATTCAGGATATATACAGGGGGTTTCCATGGCTTCAGGTGACAACCGATTTTTCTCATTTTTTATCAAAATTGTCTGTTTTCAAGAATTTTGCAATATTTTTTATATAAACTTTTTCAACATTTTTATCTGTTTTTGCTTGTTTGAAATCATAAAGAAACCCCTGCTCCATTCTCAAATTTGTTTTTTTAACCTGTTTTCTTGACAATGGATCCCTGTAGCAGGTGAATGTGTTTGATATAAGCTAATGTATCTGTGTTTGTAGATCTGCCACCTGAATCATGGGAAAAGATGAGGAACAAAAATGATTGGAACAATGTTGAACTCAGGGATAATCGATACAACCAGGTCAGTATGACATTTAGATGATACATTTATTAAAAGAATAAATATTAGGGGTGGGTCGGGCGGCCCTCGGGTCGGGCACCTTCGGGCCGGGCTCAACTGCTTCAGGCTACGGGCCAGGCCGGGCTGTATAGTCAGTCCTCTAGTTTGAATGACACCATAAGTACAAATGAATAAATAAACATAAAATACTGAATCAAGTGTCTTAATGTTTTTTGTTAATATTGTTGAACCATGTTCTGATGATTTTACTTCAATGACTAATGATTAGAAATTAGCCATTAACTCATCAATCTATCAACACCAGGGGAAAGCTACTTGCTATCTTTGCAATGTTATCATATCAACCTATATCAAAATTAATGATTATCAATTACTATGGAGTCATTATTAAGTTAAATTACAAGTATAAAACAAGAGGCTACTAAACTTAATTTTATAAAATTATTTATTGAATTGAAAAAAACTTTTTAAAAAATCGCTGATATTTTCTCAAAATGCTTACGTACCGGTAGAATATGTAAATGACACCTTGCAGATCCGGTAAATAGTTTTTTTAGGATCGTTACTCTGAAACCCAAACACTTTCCAAACAGGGCTCCTAAGCCCTGATGGCGCATCTTTGATTTCTAGCTCAGCGTTTTCACGTTTACTTTCAGCCATTATTAGCTCTTCAATGTGGAGGAAGCAAATTTTAATTGTACACTGAACGAAACGAGCATAATCCCCGGGGATTTAAGTGGCCCGTTTAGCCCGATGCCCGAGGTTCTGATGCCAGTGGCCCGACCCGTGGAGCTAATACCCGCGGGCACTCGGGCAACGGGCCGCCCGACCCACCCCTAATAAATATAGTGTGTGTTCTATTTATCATCAGATTCAGCGCCGCTGCATCTCATGGTTTTATCTGTAATCTATGGTATAATAAAAAATAAGCCTAAATATTTGATATTTTCCACTGGTCACAAAATACCAATTTCAGTTGAAACATTTTCCTATGAATATAACAGTAGCAACTATTGAATAATTTATTCAATGAGATTTTTCAACAAACTTCTTTATGTTACCTTGTCAGTTAATGTTAGCTTGTGATGGTTATTATTCAGAAATTTAGCCGATTTAGAATTTACCCTAGTTGCCTTGGCAGTGATCTCCCCAGCATTTAAGCAATTGGACGTAGCACCCACCTGAGATTTGAAAACAACGAGGCTTGCACCCACCTGAAAATCCATTTGCACCAAATTGCAAATGAGAAAAATCATGAAAAAATCACATATTTTGACCAATTTTGGTGCGAATTGGGAAAATGAGAATTTTGCACCCACTTCTGTAGAGATATTCTTGGTATAACTAAGTGGTAGGATTGTTCCAAACATTGTAGGTGATACTTTCAATTTAAAATCAAATTGGGAAAGTTAAAGGTTCTACCAAGGGAAATCAATTGGTAAAGGTATTTTTGATGAGTCTGGCAATTGACCTTTTCATAAATTGTTCTGTTGACATTTAATTTACTTTTTGGTTGGCAGTTTAGCGACATATTTTACAACTGTATCTACATATTAGTTCATGTTACAGCTTATTCTAATATTTTGAATTCTTGTCTTCCTCTCACATCTATAGATGGGGATTGAACCATCAAAAAAAGAGAACTCTGTTTGATTGCATCAACTTTTTATCAGCCTATTAAATCATTGGGATGTGGTCATGCTGTGTTTTCTGACAATTGTTAAGTTTGTAACAAGTTTTTAACCTAACAACTTTGAGGTGAATTTAAATTGGAAAAAAATGAGGACATCTTTCCAAAAAGAGATATAGAAAAATGTGTGATTCCATCAGGTCTGTCAGTCCCACAAGGATAAATACTGTATGTTTTACTATGTAAATACTGTATGTTTTACTATGTAAATACTGTATGTTTTACTATGTAAATACTCAGTGTTTTCAGTAGGCTTGTCCAAAATTGCGTCCCTTGGACGTAATGATTTTCAAAAAATGCGTCTCCCTTCAAAAAACTGCGTCCCTTGAAAAAATGTTCCCGGGAATTCAAAAGTCACGTTTTTACACTGGATGAAATAAATTGATGAAATTTTGTACCACTGCTTTTGCTATTTATTGGTCTGAATCAGCGTTCTTGCAAGTCTAGTATGTCATTGAATGATACAGATACCATCATAACTTATATTCTCCCATTTAAAACACCTTTTCCTTGCGAATTTCGAAACAATTTGCTATTGATTTTGCTTTAGCATGTTTAGTTTAGGGGCAATCTGCGCGAGGTTCAACATTTTAGTTCAGTTTCTTGCGCATATGCAGTCTCAAATAATGATCACGTGATCACACTTGACCAATTGAAAATGGTTTGAATCAGGTCTTAAGCTACCGGCCAATCGTAGGACTCATACTGATTACTGCTCGGAAATCGAGTATTGTATAAATTTTTGTCCCTATCACATGCCTCGTACTATTTCGATCAGAAATCAACTTCCGGGAAGGAAATTTCGAAAGAAAATTTTATTTCTTTTAGAAATAGAATTTTCTTCAATTATTTATTGGATTCTGACGAAATAAAGACTGAAGGTAAGATCTTTATCAAATCATTCATCCAAAGTTGATTGTATGAGTATGGCTTGCACTGCGTCCACAAAACGCAATCACTTTTTATTTCCGGGTCCATGGATTTTTCATTACGTTTTTGCAATACTTGGACGGCGTTATTGAAATAGCAGATACTGTATGTTTTACTATGTAAATACTGTATGTTTTACTATCATTTTAGGTGATTCATCTTGTATCTGCAGCTAAGGGAGCAGAGGAGTTTTACAGTTGTGAATCAAATCAGCAGAGGTCTGAAGGATTGGATCTTGCACGACATTTAGATGACAAGGCATCACAGGTATGTGAGACTGTGTGTAAATCTAATCTATAAAACAATAAGATTACTCCAAGGTTCACCCCTGACCTTGCACGGCATTTAGATGACAAGGCATCACAGGTATGTGTGACTGTGTGTAAATCTAATCTATAAAACAACAATAAGATTACTCCAATGTTCACCCCTGACCTTGCACAGCATTTAGATGACAAGGCATCACAGGTATGTGTGACTGTGTGTAAACCTAATCTATAAAACAATACGATTACTCCAAGGTTCATCCCTGACCTTGCACGACATTTAGATGACAAGGCACCACAGGTATGTGTGACTGTGTGTAAATCTATAAAACAAAAAGATTACTCCAAGGTTCACCCCTGACCTTGCACGACATTTAGATGACAAGGCATCACAGGTATGTGTGACTGTGTGTAAATCTATAAAACAATACGATTACTCCAAGGTTCACCCCTGACCTTGCACGGCATTTAGATGACAAGGCATCACAGGTATGTGTGACTTTGTGTAAACCTAATCTATAAAACAAAAAACAATAAGATTACTCCAAGGTTCACCCCTGACCTTGCACGACATTTAGATGACAAGGCATCACAGGTATGTGTGACTTTGTGTAAACCTAATCTATGAAACAATAAGATTACTCCAAGGTTCACCCCTGACCTTGCACGACATTTAGATGACAAGGCATCACAGGTATGTGTGACTGTGTGTAAATCTATAAAACAATAAGATTACTCCAAGGTTCACCCTGACCTTACATGGCATTTAGATGACAAGGCATCACAGGTATGTGTGACTGTGTGTAAATCTATAAAACAATACGATTACTCCAAGGTTCACCCCTGACCTTGCACGGCATTTAGATGACAAGGCATCACAGGTATGTGTGACTTTGTGTAAACCTAATCTATAAAACAATAAGATTACTCCAAGGTTCACCCCTGACCTTGCACGACATTTAGATGACAAGGCATCACAGGTATGTGTGACTTTGTGTAAACCTAATCTATAAAACAATAAGATTACTCCAAGGTTCACCCCTGACCTTGCACGACATTTAGATGACAAGGCATCACAGGTATGTGTGACTGTGTGTAAATCTATAAAACAATAAGATTACTCCAAGGTTCACCCTGACCTTGCACGGCATTTAGATGACAAGGCATCACAGGTATGTGTGACTTTGTGTAAACCTATAAAACAATAAGATTACTCCAAGGTTCACCCCTGACCTTGCACGGCATTTAGATGACAAGGCATCACAGGTATGTGTGACTGTGTGTAAACCTAATCTATAAAACAATAAGATTACTCCAAGGTTCACCCCTGACCTTGCACGACATTTAGATGACAAGGCATCACAGGTATGTGTGACTGGTTAAACCTAATCTATAAAACAATGAGATTACTCCCAAGGTTCACCCCTGACATTTTCATCATCAGCCAAAAGGACCTTATACACCCTCCATTGGGATCTCCCCATGGGAAAAAAATAATTCATCTGATTTTTCAAAATGAGTATTCTGCTTCAATACATTTATATGCACACTAGTATCTTGTTGACCTATATTCAGCACTGTATTGATGTATAGGCCACTTATTAGGGTCATAATTCAATCATGATGTGTAGATGCATAGATTCCAAACCAGGTAGAAGTATTTTTGTGTCTGGTCAAAATCCATTTACATCCTACGCATCCCTGCATCTTATCCAAATATGTTACTACATAATGAAATATAATAGTATAATCTTTGGTTTTACAAACTTGTATGATATTTGGTAAGTGTAAAAGTTGTTTTTGGATCATTTTTCTATAGCCATTTTGTAGGGAAAAAATGATGAAAAAATGTACAATCTTTTAATTTTAAACCTGCACATCGCTCCAAATGTAATATGTTGACATATATTGTTTTTACATTTTCAAACTCTAATATAAAGTTTATGTAAATAAAAATTGTTTTTTTCTGCGTAATATCAAAGAACAATCATTTAGTTAAAAAAATAAAAAGGCGAATGCGGGATTCGAACCCGGGCCTCCCGCGTGCTCGGCGAGGATTCTACCACTACACCACCGTATTATTATGGATGGTGGAAGTAATTAAACGCTACTTATTTTGAATGCTATGATTCGGAAGTGACGTCACGTTCTTCATTTAGAAACCTTTCAAAAATCATACCCTTATAAAAAAAACAACCATTTTTTCCGAAATTCAATGGTTTCATTGCATATCATGTAACCATCATTTCAACCTTGAAGATCAAAGGAAAAATCATTATATCAACCATTCAAAACCATTGCGCAACCATTACTTCACCCAATCTTTTCAACCCTTTTAACATAAAGTTGCAATGGTTACGCAACCATTTTTGAGAAACCATTGCAAAACCATTACAACCATTACCCATTGAAATTAACAGTTACAATTGATTGCAACCATTAATTGGGAACTGCAACTATTGCAACCATTAATCCTCGAAATGAATGCTCATGGGCAGACATGTAGCCAGCTTTTGCACTTTTGACAAATTTACAAGGGGATTCATATTTTATAACTATGGCCAAAGATTGGCCAAAATCACTTGAAAGTCCTCAATATGGTGAAAAACTGCATGAATTTGAAATAATGTTGGGCTATGGCTATGTTGATATTATTAGTATGTTTTTTTAAGTAAGCATGTCTGTAGTCTGCAGTCTATCACACTCTTCTCTCATTAAAGAATTTTTTTTTGGACTTTGTGTGTCTCGGATCTTTTTCTCAATGACAAGTCTGACGTCACTTCCAGAACAACAAAAAACATACACTTATTTGTATATACTTATTTGTATCATTTAATCTAATCCCTAGGATATTAAACACTTATTTCTATGACTATTGCAATCACTTATCAGGTATCGTTTTTAAGGAGAATGAAAAATGCAGAAATCTTGTAAGAAAATAAGGATTCTTTTTTGTTTCAATTCAATATTGTTTAATTTTGCTGGCTTATTTTCATTAAAAAAATTGTAGAAATACAAATTAAGATTTCACATTATTGAATTCAGATAAGGTACAAAGACAGAGAAGCAACAGTTGCACAGACAGAGCGGCAACGGTTGAAATGCTAATTATAACCATTGAAAAGCCAATTATAACCATTGAAATGCTAATTATAACCCTCGAACAGCCAATTAGATAAAGTTCTGTTTTGATAGTTTAACAAAATCATTACAAATTAATTCTTTTTTTAAGAATTATTTTTGTCTGAATAATTTATTTTTGAATTCCCCCTACCATAATAATGACACAATCATAGTAAATTAGATGAGATTCACATTAAGATTTTTGAAGCGACAGCTATGGTCTTGATGAATTCTCTTTTTTCTAGCGATAGTTAACTTAAGTTCATAATACAATTTTGAGACATATCAAACTTCAAGTTCATGCTCATAGGCATAAAACCATGTCTAGTAAAAGGAAATATCATCTATTCAAGTGTTTAAGATATTTCCCTTTCAGTCATTATGATTAAAGTTTAATCCAATAGTAATTAACATTTTTTGATTTGTAAATGATATTGAAGAAAAGACAATCAATCCGGCTCTTGCCTAATCCAAAGCATAAATACAAGGATGTTGATGTTTCAAAATCATGTTTTGGAAACATTTTCAGTTTAATCTACTTAATTGTTGTAATAAGACTTCTTTGATATTGAAGAAGCAGTTATTTTGGCACTAGCTTAATCCAAATCATAAATAAGAGGCAGGAAATACTATCTTTGATGTTTCATAATATGTATGTATGTACTTTTAGTCAGAAACATTTTTTGTTGAGATAGGAGAAAAACAGAAAATTTCCACAGAACGTTTTGTTGTATTGTTCAGTAAAACTGAATAAATCAAGAAGGAATTTCCAAATAAACTACAAGAATGACCAGTGCCAAAAATGAATACACTTGATTCTCTTCAATAAAATAGAAATACTATCTCTATGAACATGAACTTGAAGTGATATTCAGTACCAAAAATGAATAAACCTTATTCTTTATAGAAATAATATGCCTATGAGAATGAACTTGAAGTCATATCCAGTGCCAAAAATGAATAAACCTTATTCTCTTCAATTAATTAGAAATAATATGCCCATAAACATGAACTACTGTATTTGGAAACATAATAATGCATTCAATTTACTTGTATGTTCTTCATGTTTCAAATTGTCTCATTCTTAAACTAAATAATTTCCACAATATGGTTGAAAATAGTTGCAACCATTTGGTAAAATCCAACTTAAACAATCAATGGTTTGTAATGGTTGCAAATGATTCCATAATTTCAATGATATGCAACCAAAGTTTTCAACCAAATTTTAATGGTTGCAATGTAATGGTTGGAAACCATTTCAATTGGTTGCAGCAATGGTTATGCAATGATTTGTAATGGTTGCGCAATGGATTTTAACGGTTGAAATTCGGAAAAAATGGTTGTTTTTTTCCTAAGGGAATCGCCGGCTCCGATCGAAGCAAATTCAATGAAAAATCTTTGAAATGACACATTTATCGTAAGTATTTCTACACAAGATTTGCCCCATTTGTTCATCATTCTATAATCTTTCATTAAGCTCAAAATGATAAAGTTCACCCTCGAAACAACCCAAGATTGCGTTTTGGAGCGTAGTCCAGCTTTAAGTATGACCTGAATCGATTGCAAACTTCATATTTGCACATTTGATGAGATAAACCATTTGTGTCGTATTGTGAAATTATTAAGTTTGCAATCGATTCAGGTCATAGTGTATTTTTGATATTTCTGTGATAATCAATGGAAACCAATGGCCTCTATTGGGATCTGCTGATATCCTCATGTTAAGTCAATGGTACACAGCCCCATGTAAGTCAGTACAACCTTACTGAACGAAATGATCCCTATCTCAGCTTATGTGTGACCGAACACTTTAATATTTTCCAAAGTATTATATGACATTTTATTCTTCATGTTACAACTACGAATGATTCATTTTGACCATAGGGATATTTGCCAATGATTGCACCTTGTCCTTTTAAAAACTTCTCCTCGTACCAATTAACAGGGAGCAAATATTAAAATTGAAAAAAGCAATACATTTACAATTTGTTCAAAATATGAACTTATTGATTCGGAGCGTGGCTCTCACATTTAAAATGTGCCCATATATCAGTTAGCCCATGCCGGGGCAAAATGAACTCCATTAATTAGTTTTATCTATTTGCTGATGTCTGTTCTTGATAATGTCCCATTGTTTCAATATAAATGATCACTTAATCACTCTTGGTAATAACTGTCCTAGCATTTACATTAATAATGAGACAAAACATCATTTCTTACAAGGTCACAGTAAAAATTATATTCTGTTTTAATGAATTAGAACTGTCTATACATTAAGATGTAAATATTACTTGAATTCTAAAAAAAATCTTGAAGATTCATCCTAATTTTTTATTTAAGATCTCAGTACCATTGTTAATTATTTGCTCTTTGTACCAATTTACAGGTGTTAACATTAGAGTAACAATCACTTACATACATGTATCATTTTGATGTCACCACACAGGTGACATATTGTTGATGTCATGTTACCACCTGAAGTGGTGACATATTGTTATGACCCCCAACTTTTTATTGACAGCAGTTGGTGATCAGCTTTCTGAGTCTGTAACAAATTCTCACTACCTTCATTAACTTCACAAGTTCTGTTTAGACTGACTTCAATTTTTTTCAAAATCATCTACAAGTTCTCAGAAGTTCAAATCTGAAGTCATATTTGAGATTTGACCTTCAATAACCTTCTAAAGATCAAAAAGGTATTTCTCATCTTGATTCAAATTGACCAATTCTTTTCAAAATCGTCTACAAAGTTCTCATAAATTCAAATCTGACTTAAGATTGAACTCCTTATATTGTGAGCAACTAAGTGGTGACATTTTGTCATGTTATTGCTTTGTTTATTTATAAAATGTGATGGAGATTCAACCACAACAATGTCAGTCCTCTTTTATATAACTATGTTTTTGCTCATACTTATTTTCATTTCATTCTAGGCGTGGGTCGGGCACCCCTATTATGATGTCATAGACAATACCACAGATTTTGAAGGAAAATGTGTTCGCACTGTTGCAGTAAGTATTGAAGTGTTTCACAAAGTATTTTAAAACAATTTATTGTCAACTATTGCTGCTAAATCTAATTTCATAAAATTTTAGCAATCAATTGTTTGTTTATTTTGAATTTAATAATTAATTTTGAATTGACTCAGTTACAGGCCTCGTTGACATCCAACAAAGCGAACATCAGTTCTGAGCTTGCGTTCTTTTCGCTCAACCAGGATTCTCACATCACAGATGTCAAATCTTTAGTCGCGCACCACTATTTCCTCACTCCCGAACATGTATCTCCATTCGCGAACAGAGATCTGTGCTCGCGAACAATTTGTACTTCGTTGGAATAATACGAAATAATAATACAAATAAAATTACAGACTTTTTTCGATCAGGTGTATGGTTCACGAGCATAGATCTCTGTGAGTGGAGAAACATGTTCGGGACCGAGGAAATGGTGGTGCACTTTTAAAGATTTTATGTTCACAACTTGAGAATTGTGGTTCGAGTGCAAAGAACGTAGTTTGCTTGCTCAGAACTGATGTTCGCGTTATTGAAAGTCTAGGAGGCCTGAGTTATAAAAAACAAATTCGCCGGCTGGTAGTGTAATCTCTTGAAATAGACAATTGGAATACTTAACTACTTAACTTAACAAGTTGGTTGTAGCTAGAATTTTGTCAAGTGTAATTTTTTAAAGGATCGCTCATGTATGAAATAATGAAATAAAAATGACAATTTCTTAACTATTTATTTTTTATTTATCCTCATTATTGTATAATTTTGCCAGGTATGTCAGTTTTGAACTTCTTGTAATTGCACGCACCCACTCTAAGCCTCTCTTTGGAGTCTGTCTTGTAATATTCAACCAATCAGAGTTCACCAACCAAGTCGAGTCTCTTTCTTGATGTTTTCTTGGATTGTGCCAAATGTAGTATTGTGAGATATTTCTTATATTACATGAAAATCTACAAAACATTTTGGCGGGGATTGCTACCACTTTTAGTCCACCAGGTGTCACCGATTCAACAGGACTGTCAAGTTTCGTCAGTTCATTCTGAATTCTAATAGAACTTGATTCACAGGATAACCTTAAAGATTGTTTCCAAGTTATGTTAAGATGATATAAGGCAGCATTTATATACATTTGATCAGTTCCACGTCCCGTCTTCGTTTCTGTCAACTCTGCAACCATATCCCATAATACATCTGAAAAATGATATGATTTTCTGGTTAGATTTCATACTTTCATTTAATTATCCCATCGAACGAAGTTCGGAGGGATATAGGGAACGCCTCCGTCCGTCCGTCTGTCCGTCCGTATGTACGTCCGTATGTACGTCCGTCCGTCCGGGCAATAACTCAAATACCGTTCACCCGATTTTGTTCATATTTTGTACACATATACCCTATGGGGGTAGAAGTTCTGCCCGAAAGCCGATTTTCAAAATGGCCGCTCATTACAAAATGGCGGCCATTTTAGTGCCGAATTTACAGTAATTTAGGTGCAATATGTAAAACTGTAATAGCAATATGTTTTAGATGTAAAAAAATTATATAGGACATTAATAAAGCTAGAAATGTAGATGTTAAAGAAGCACATGGCAGCCATCTTGAAAAATGGCGGCCTTTACTCGTTATTTTACGATTTTTGCTGTAACTCGAAAAGTAGTGGAGCGATTTTGTTCATATTTGGTATGTGAATACTATAAACATTGCACACTGTCTAAAGACACTTTTGGTAGAAGGTGGCCATTTTAAAAAATGGCCGCCATATTGAAAAATAGCCGCCATTTTAACCTATTTTACTATAACTCGAAAAGTAGTGAAGCGATTTTGTTCATATTTGGTATGTGAATACTATAAGCATGGCACACTATCTAATGACACTTTTGGTAGAAGGCGGCCATTTTTCAAAATGGCCACCATTTTGACGTATTTTACTATAACTCGAAAAGTAGTGGAGCGATTTTGGTCATATTCGGTATGTGAATACTAAAAGCATGACACACTGTCCTATGACACTTTTAGTAGAAGGTGGCCATTTTGAAAAAAAATTTGAAAAATGGCCGCCATTTTAACGTATTTTATAATAATTCGAAAAGTAGTGAAGCGATTTTGTTCATATTTGGTATGTGAATACTGTAAGCATGGCACACTGTCTAATGACACTTTTGGTAGAAGGCGGCCATTTTTCAAAATGGCCACCATTTAAACGTATTTTACTATAACTCGAAAAGAAGTAGAGCGATTTTGTTCATATTTGGTATATGAATACTATAAGTATGGCAAATGGTCTAATGACACTTTTGGTAGAAGGCGGCCATTTTGAAAAATGCCTGCCATTTTTGCTAAATACTTTGTTTGTAAAAATGCCATCCATGGCTGTTCGATGGGATTCGCTACGCTTTGGCGTTGCCGTTGTTCTGGTTGAAACATATTAATGGCTATGATGAAGTTAAGGTTATTATGAAGCTGACCTATTTTAGTATTTGCTCGAAGGTAGAGGGCGCCCATATTCAATGTAAAGAAATGCCATCTTTGTATCAAGGCATGAGGAACACAACCGACTGCCCCTGCCATCAAATCAGTCCCGGGATACCGCCTTAATAATTTCTCCAAGTTTTTCATTGGTAGAGCATCCAGATCATATGAAAAAACATCATAGCCGAGAAAGTTTATTATTCGCCAGGTGATTAGTCTGAGTACCCAGTGACGTTGTCGTTGAATTGAACTTAACTTATGCACATTGAAATCTTTTATTACATCTTCAGGATTTAAGAACACAATCGGTATATCCTGCTTAGCTATGAATTGAAAAACGCCTAGTTCGGTTGTGATGATTAGGATATTATCAATAGGTGGCACTGCGAAAAAACGTGCGATTATCAACCAATTAAGGAAATCAGGGATATAGTTGTTATCGAAAGAAACCATATGGACTATATTTCCATGAACATTACTAAGTGCCTCTGCCAAGTCTGCAAAGAAGCATGATTTCGAAATCTCAACTGATGTCCGTGAAAATGACTTGTAGGCAAATTTTAAATTTTGATTAAAAAGTGAATTTTTGTTGAATTTTAAGATTGGTTTATGATTAGTTTTGGGTTTTGATTGAATTTTAAGCACTCCAGATTTGTATATGTAGCTATTTTGAGATGAAGATTTACAATAGTTTCTCCATATTTTCGGTGTTTCATAATTATCATTCTTTGTAATGTCCTTAATTGAGCCTGTTTTTCCATTTTCATTTAATTGTCTTAATTCTTCTTGGATTCTTAAAGGATAAATGTTAATATATATTATTATCACAAATGTACTTATACATAGTATCTGAAATAAATGTCTCCTCTGTATTTGATGATTAATAGAATCCATATTTTAGCCAATCAAGTGATTTTCTCAATTCACATCCATATGTTCATCCGTCTGCTTTCTCCCTTTGCTTTTTTATCATCATTTATGTTAAATTTCACTTTAATTGCTTGTGTTTATATAAATATTATGTTGATTTTTCAATGTTGATTATTGTTGCCATTTTTACTGCTTTGATATATTTATCTGATGTGATATTACGATTACTTTGTAGATATTCTAATGTTGACTATATCATGTTTACAATAGATTGGAAAACGTGTCAAAATTCAATCAGATTAAAAAATATGATGATTAATTGTGAATTATGACCTTAAAAATTTTGAATTTATCTTTGAGTTGAAAATCATTAATTAAACTAGATAACATGTCAATGTCATGTCTTATTTTAATATAGTTATTTGATATTGATGGAATGGTAGTCATTTGTTATTGTTTCTTTGCGTGTTTTGATAAGTCATGGTCAGTAAATGTTCTACTTTTCTGCTTGTCACTCGTTTCAGCTGCATAAGGTCAATTTGAGGTGACAACAAACAAACATTGAAAAACAGAACATTTACTGACTGTGACTTATCAAACACACTAAGAAACAGTAACATATAAGGTCAATTTGAGTTATACATTTTGTTACCTATGTTTATGTAAGATTTCTCCTTACATATTCCGGGAAACCAGTAGTAAATCTAGTTGCGTAATCTTAATACTTGGTACTGATTGAATGGAAAGTCAATAGTTTTTACCACAAATTGTACACCAATGTTGCTTGTTTGAAGTATTTTGCAGTCAATTACCTGAAGTGACAGCGTCCATTAAGAATCAGATTGAAAATAATTGCCCTTCAATTTAGTTGGTATTTTAACTTTATATCTACTTTAAGGTGAACCAAGGAGGATTGGAAGCCAGGGTTCCAACTCGATATTCTTTAATCTCCACGCATGCGTCATTTGCTATTCGTGTCTGTATAATTTGTACGACTGCATGGAGAATGACCCGATACTCTCCAACAAAGCTATCGCTAGGTGATTTTTTTGCAGAATATCGGTGTTGCATTCTGGGAGCCAATCCTCCTTGAAGGTGAACCTTAAATATGTGAATGAGAAATCTCCCCCCACACACCCATTTCCCTCCACTATCTTCCCGCCACTTAGCCTAAACACTGTTTTTTTTAACAATGGGTATGTCACCATGCAGGATAATGGCTGAATTATTCTAGTAATGACCTTTATGTAACCTAGGCCTCAACCTGATTGAATTGTAGATAGTAAACCAATGTTTATTTGTTTAGCTTTTGTTGGTTTAGATTTGTTGTTGATTTAAACAATCTGTGCTGGCTCCAATGAAAAATGAAAACTATTAACCATGCCTCATATCAATATTATTTAAAACACACTGTAATAAATATTGCACTGAGATGAGCAAAATGGTCACCATGTAATTTACCCAGCATACCCAAAACCTAATCAGATCTTGCACTAGTCTCAATAGCCATGTATCTGTAAAACGTCAAACAAATAAGATAAATATCCATTTTATTGGGCCACATATGTAATATGTACACCATTTGTCCCTTTTATTTTTGAGTAATTTTCATAAAATTGACTTTTGATATCAAGATATTTCTTTTCACTATAAAAAAGTATGCATCAGTTATAGTATTCCCAAATCATATACTAGTAATATGGTCTCCATTTGTCTGAAAATGCCATTTGTATGAGTTAACACTGATTTTTTTCTTTGTAGTTTTTGGGCTTATTTTAACAGACCCATTGAACTAAATTCCCACTCCAAATTGATAGCCTGAGTAAGTGGAGCTCCTTTGTGGTAGCTCTTAGAAGTGTTCTACTTATAGAGGTTTATTTAACATGAAGTCAGTTGGTCTTGTGACTCTGAAAAGTGTTTCACTAACAGAGGTGTTCCACTTCTATAGGTGTTCCACTTTACACGTTTCACTGTATTTACAAATATTAGGAATTGATTCATTTGATTCCAGGCTGTCTGTAACAGATTAGGAATTGATGCAGGTGATAGATTATCCCTCGATGCCAAAAAGCGGAAATTCCTTGTTGCAAAACTTCCACCAGATTTGTTGGTAAATATCTGTATTTTAATATACTTGTATATCTTTTGTGGGATCTTTGAATTATTTTTTGCATTCTCATTTAATTGAAGCAATGAAACATTTTTATAGACACATTTTTATCTCCATTTTAATTCATGATATTTGATTTCATGGGCTATGATATGTATGATCGAATAGAATATGACATATACAACAACTTTACAAAACCACTGTTCAGTTTGAGTAAAAGATATTTGAGTTCCAGTGTTCTCCCCAAAAAGAATTTCAACTGGGTGCAAAATTTCAAGTCTGAAAAAATCAGCACTCGCTACGCTCACAATATCTCAGTGTAGGTGCTTACTTCACTCATTTTTCAAATCAGAAGTTAAAGTGCAGATTCCAACTGGGTGCCAACTGGGGGGCCTTTGGTTTCAAGTAGGGGGAGCCCCCGGGAAAAGTGACATGGGGAGATCACTGAGTTCTTGAATGTTTATAAGTTTTAATTGATTTTATGATGAAGTGATATAAAAGCTATTTTTAGAATGTGCATAATTATACATGTATTGTGAAATTCGTAGGATAAAAATGATATCCTATGACTTTCTCCAGCTATTATTTTTATTCGCTAGTGGATATCACCCATATCCACTCTCGCTGTGCTTACTTTTAAGGATGGTTGATATCCACTCGTGAATAAAAATGATATCCCTCAAAAATCGTAGAATATCCTCTATATATAGATTATATTACATTATCACTCTACTTTATTTTGCTTGACTGTCCAAGTGTGATGTTTGCTTGCTTCAAGCACGATTTAGACATTGATTAATGTGTTTGGAAAATGTTTTACCCATGTCAATTTATTTGTAAATTATAATACATGTGATTGTATAATGGTTTTTACATGTATTTGTAAGTGTTATACATCTATTTTTCTATGTTTTAACATGTATTTGAAACCCCATTTTGGTATTACTGTTTTTGCACAAGTTGCCTTATCAGCCCTTTTCAACCATTGCATTAGTGCCAATTTTACTATTTTATATTTATACAAAAAATCTCGAAACAAAATTTCATTTCTTCAACTGAAACATTCTTAGTGTAATGGAAATTCTCAAACAAGCATTGAAAGGGACAATTCACAAGAAGATAAAGAAACTCAAAATCTTCCATTTTTATTCTCCTTTAAGTGACTTAATTAACATTTGACAGGGTAATTAATTTGATAGGGTGAACAGTGTATAAGAACAAGATAATTAATCAAAGTTACTTCTGATTATTTATATTGAATTTTTCATGCAATTTCAAATCTGATATAAGATTTGAACCATATTTTCTCCAAATCCACAAAAAATGTCAAAGAAATGGGAGTATTCCTGTATATACAGGGTGGGCCAATAAAACAATACACAAATTTAAAGATGAAATTTCTAAATTTATTTATAGTTGTCACCCTTAGCCAGCTCTCTTGACCCTTCACCATGTTAGTACCATTGACTTGTAGTGTGTGTTTTGTTTTAACAGGATGTGTGTATTACCAGTGATCAACCAGCAGAAGGATCCAATAAGTTGAAGACGACAAATTCGGAGGTGTGCCACATAAATGTAATAATTGGTGGTGGCCATATCAATCCTTTCCATTAACTTATTTTTTATTTATTTCTAAGTATTTTTAACTTTACATTTGAATTTAATTGAGAATTAGACATTTCTGGGATTGATTTCTAAATCATCCATTGTGTGAGTTTTTGGTTTCATTCAACTATTCAACAGAATTTTTAAATGTGCTTTTTGATTAAAATCTGTATTTTTAAAGTGATATATTTAGCTGCCATTTACATTTCCTTTTCAATCTTAAGTAAGCTTAATACTAATTTCTTTCTTATTTCAATCTGCCTTCAAATCTACTTTTATTTTTATAACAAGTAATACTTCTCTTTCATCATAAAACAGTTCTTTCCTCATCGTAATAAAAATATACTTTTCCTCATAAAATTCGCTCTTCAAAAGTAGCTCTTCCCTTGTAAGAACAGTTCTTTCTTCAAAAATGGTTCTTTTCTCATAAAAATAGTTTTTCTCTTATTAACACATTACATTTTTCAATTGAAAGGTATATATGACCACCACTGTTCCCTTATATCATGGGCTTTCAATTAGAAAGCCCATGCTTATATGTTACCATTTATAACATTCTTGTTGAATGGAAGAGTGATGTTCACTATTTTAAGGAATTAGAAGGGATAGAGAGTGAAAAATATTGGAATAATCTAATCTTTTCATAAAGTATTGCAACGTTTTTCTTACAATGCTCTTTTTTATTTTTGCAAATTATTGAGAAATTTCATCAAATAGTGGACTGAAATAAAGTAAAGTTAGAATTTTTTCGAAACTTAGCGTCAACTATCTCTATCCTTTTGATTTCCTTTTAACTGAATACTGGACCAAAAAATGACAGGGGATCAATACGTAATACCTTGATAAGTGTTATTAAACAGTAAGTGGCCATATAAGGACAACATTGGGGACTTATGATTTGATAATTGTTAAAACTATAAATGACCTTGAGATGACAAAATCTTGGAATTCTAAAAATTATTGTAAATTGCGAAAATGGTCAAGTACTATCAGGTTCATAATTAATGAGGCTTGAGGTTATAATTTCTGGTGGAAATCTGTGGGATAAAAAGGTGAGACTAGAGTGTAGTTTGACAACTTTTAAAAAAACTAAACCATTTTAGAACATTCTGCAGTGTCCTTTCCCTGTGTGTTCCTTTGAGTTTTGAATAGTGTGTGTTTTGGCCTAACTGCCTGTAACATTAACATACAGCTGCATTGTTATAACACAGAAATGTCCAGACATCATGTTTTCATATTGAAAATGGAGTGAAAACACTTCATTCAAATTGTAGAGAGAAATGGAGTGAAATAAGCATGAACAGATGGACATTTAAGTTAATGCATACACATTTCATACAGTGCTACTCACAAAAATTCATAGTATTATGTCTAGTATGAATGTGGAGACAATTTGTCAGTTTACTTTTCAGGTTTATCCACAATTCCAAGACTTTATTGTTCTCCATGACTACCTCGTGACACCAAACTCAAAGATGCAGGCTCGAGTCAGGAGACGTGGACAAAATGGTTAGTGAGATGAAATTTGTGTTCTACTTGAAGGTTTCTCACTGAGGACAGGGTTTATTATGTCACCACCAAAAAGTGGTGACATATTGTTACTGTCTCCGTTTTTTGTGACGGCGGTTGGTGATCAGCAGTTGGCTGTTGGTGGTTGGTGTCTGTAACAAATTCTTAAAGCTTTCAATGACTTAACAAATACTGTATAGACTCACTTCATTTTTTTCCAAAATCATCTACAAGTTCAAATTTGACTTTATATTTGAGATTTGACCTTCAAGGTAAAAAAGGTCAAAAGGTCTTTTTTCAAGTTGCTTCAAATTGACCAAATGTTTTTTTTTCAAAATCATCTTACAAGTTATCAGAAGATTGAACTTAAAATATTGTGAGCTACTAGGTGGTGACATTTTGTCATGTTAATGCCTTGTTGGTCTTTGTTCTAAACTAAGTTTGAAAACAGGATATTCATAATTTGCCGATGGGCAATCAGTCTATTAGCCAATATGCACATTAGTTCTGTTTTGATATCCGTTTGCAATGAAGCATATATACTTAAGTAATATGAATTTCAAACATTCTTTGGTTTGGTGGTAATTTTCAATTATTAAAAAGTCATTATTAAACTTAATGTTGACTTATTTATAGAATAAGACCTACAAATGTTGTTCATTTCAAATACATGTATAATTGAATATTATTATTTTAGTTGAGTGGGATGTTGAAAGAGGAGTATGGAAGCTTGAGACGGGCAACTGGACCTACACACACACATTACGTAAACCTAGAGTTGATCATCAAAAAGTTGAGACCAAAATGAATATCAGCAAGCGTGAATATCAGGTAAAAATTCAAACAAATGAAACAATTTTGCATTTGTTGGGATACAACCTTTTAACATACATTCACAATGCTCAATTAAAAACATCCAGTTAAATCCAATGATGAAGTTGTAGAAAACAGAATGAATGATGCTATTTCAACTCGTTTACTCAGAAAGCATGTTGAAAACTTTTCAAGATTTGAAGAGAAATATGACCAACTGAATGAAAGAGTTCTAGTCAGATTCTCTCTTGAATCAGAACAAAAGCTCAGTATCTTCAGTTTTAAGAATAAAAAATTAGATATACAAGGTTGAAATCCATAAATAGTACCATTATTTTGAATGCTGTTTTATCATGTTTTCTAGCTGCTTTTGGCCCAGAGAGATCTGAAACACTTCACCATCTACAAGAAACGTCGCTGTTTCCTATGGAACAACCAGTACTTCCAGATGGATATTTATCAAGACCCATGTCATCCAAGGTATGTACTTATACACTCTCAGTCAAAAGTTTGGAAACCCTAACTTACCATTGGATAGCCTGTTTATGCTTAAATTTTCCTCTTCATTTATGAAAATTCATGACTTTGATGAATTGTTCAAAATAAATATAGATAGACTTTAATATTAGTCATTAGTTAGGAGGTCATTGGGTTCAATTTCTTTCGGGGTGATCAGGCTTTAGCATTGAACATGTTATGATCTTGCATTGTCTACTTTTGATCTTCTTTTAGGGCCAAGGGAATTATCATCCTGGAGACCTACACTACTTTGCATGACGACAAGTTAAAATTACCAGACTTTTTGGATATAACTAGGGAAATCACAGTCGATACACAATATTCAATGTTCAACTTGTCGTTAAAAGAAGACTGGACTGGCTCGAAAAAACTTTTACAATCTCTTTCAAAGGATGAGGATTCTAAAGATGAAGCTTTGGAGACTTCATAACACAGGATGGAGTTTCTATTTTATGGTGTAGTCATATTTGATTGTCCTGTATTTTATATTTAAAGAGGCAGACTGGTATAGAATTAATCACAAATGGTTTAATGTTGAAGTAGTTCATCAGAATATAAATACATCAAATGTGTGAAGAAATCATATCCACAAATGGGAACAAACGTCATCTATTAGGATTTTTCAGCAAATGCTTTCTATATGTTAGAACTTGTGTAGAATTATATATTGAGAAAAATGGTTGTGATCTCCCCTGTGCTAAATTCTCATTTAACTTATTTTCGTATTTCATACGTTTCAAAAGGTGCAACTTTTACAGCGGTGCTAATGAACGACAGATACAGAAATCATATTAAATGCTTGTAAATGTCAAAACTGTTATTTATTAACTTATAAAATGAGTAAATTTAATCGAGGAAACAATCATATTCTTACTCATGTTACTAATAAGTACAATAAGTCTAATTTGCTATATTGATATTTCATAATCATGCTCTTCAATTATTTTTCCCTGTAAATTATCACCAGAGTCATTATAACTCTTCCCTGTTTTGTAATGTGTTGTGTTGTGTAGTTGTGCCACCATTTAATCATACTTCTGTACATTTAACTTTTATAGACATATCCAGGAAAGCTTCTTTGAAGGCCAACATGTTCTTTAATTTTGTGTGCTATAATACATTGTCATAAAGTGCCCTTTGTACAAGAGAACTCAGTCAAACACGTGTATCTTATTTTATATGCACTGACTTTACAGGCTATCAGGTTTTAATATATAAAATAAACACAATTACAGGAATTAAATGGGATAGAGAGTGTAAATTAATCATTTTGCATCTTAGATTGTACGTATTCAGGCCCGTAGCCAGGGGGGGTTCGATTGTTCCCCACCCTAACCAAAAAAACTTTCAAAATCATGCAGTTTTTCACCATTCTGAGCACTTTTTAGTGATTTTGGCCATTTTTGGACCAAAATTGTCAGAAGTGACCCCCTGGGATTTTCCAAAAAGTGAACCCCCTTGGCAAATCCTGGCTACGGGCCTGAGTATCATACAAAAAAACGTGTATATTAGATCAGGTTTATCTCAATAATTATTCCAGAAAATACAATTGAATATGATTCTTATAGAAACATTGAGTGCTTCTAAAAGATGTTTACTAATTACTTTAAAAAAGCTTATATAACGTAATTGATGAGTTATTGTAGGTAGGTCAGAATGTTTCCTTATCTGGTAATCCTGATATATTAATTAAATGTGGTATTAAACTTTTATCACTTTGTGTACTTTTGTAAGCTTAAAAGTAGTCATTCTGATACTCAGACCATCTCTGCAATGCACAAGAATGTTCTCGAAGGAAACTGAGAGAAGACTGTGATATGTAGTAGGTTTTCAAAAAATGTAAATGCTTTTTCAATGTCACTGTTCACTATAATGGCATAGACATTTATTTGCCAAGACCAAAGCTTATTCAATTTATGTCATTAGATAATTTATTTTCTTATTGGTTATGGACATCAGTTTTCTCCTTAAGTTTTCCCTTTATTAAGAATAAGGGTCCTTATTTTTAAATATACTGAAGAATTATTTTGTCCTTTTAAGGCATACAGTAAGACTGAAAGTAAGTAAAAGCGGAAAAATGAACACTATTAGACCAGCTATATGTGACCGCATTAAGAAGTCTCAAACTGAATCTGGGACCATAGCACTGTTTACATTTTGGAAAATTTTGGGAAAAAATATTCACATTTCAAGTTTTATTGTATATTTTTAATTTTAAAGTTATGGCAGTAGTATATTTTTAATTTTGAATGTTAAGTTTTTATTACTTTTGTTATTACTCATGTTTAAAAAAGCATTTAAAGATAAATATGAGAGAATGTATCCCAAGCAATGGTGGAGGAAGATTATGAGTAGGCATATATTGATGTACTGGTAATCTTGTATTCTTGATGTTGTAATCAGTGATGAGATGAATTCTACAATTGCTTTATCCATATACAATTGGACAATGTTGGTTTTCAATCAGTTTTCTAATTTTTTTACCTTTGTATAATCTCCCAATATTTATTGATTGAACTACCAGGGCGCCATCAAGAATCATCTGAATATACCATCAGCTTGTTCAGCGTATCATAGCCTTGAGTCCGGGATACTAAATTAGAATGTGAGGTCTCGAGTCTAATGGTTGCTACAACCAGCGAACTAATGGTACTAGAGACTTGATCCAGACTTGTTCAATTCTTGTATTTTTCATTTACAATATATGCACAAACCTGGGAGATATGTTTTTTTAATGGTATTTGTTGTATATTTCTCTATGTTCATTTGATTGCTCCTGTTTTTGCCGAAAACATGATTTTATCCCTGGTCCAACTGCACAGTTTCCCCAAAGTTTCATTATTAATAAATTATTAGTTCATATACATTTCCTTTTTGTTATTATCAGAAGCATGTGGTGTGACCATTAACAAAATAATTCTAAAGTGCAGTTGGACGATTGTTAAAGGGCTAATGGCTATAATTCCTGTCTGAAAAAAAACTTAAAATTAAAATAATTCAGAATGATGCGTTACTGCGATCAATATACTTGAACGATAAATCACTCATGTAAGAGAGTGAATTCATAATTGTCTAGTAATTGAAAAAAGATTTATACTTTATTCAATTCAAAAACTTTTACTGGGTCAGAGAATATTTTCAAAGAGTAGGTTTATGTCCACGACTATTGAATGTGTAAGTCACATAACATTATAAATTAAAAATATTTTAGGGTCATTTAGGATAAGAATTAGAGCCATTACCCCTTTAATACGGGGCAGAATTCTACTGCTTCACGGGAGAAACTTGTGTCAAAGCAATGATATTCTGGGTGATTAGTTGAGTTTTAGAAATAAACTTTTAAAAACTCAAATTGTGTCGTTTTCATTGAGATATATTGAGGTTTAATCCTCAATCACATTTGCCCCACGACGGTTCACAAAATCAATGTAAAAATCTACATCGAACTGCTACTCCCTGCATTTAATGCTGCATATTTCTCAACTTTTGAAGCTGCAGCCGCCGTATAGTTGCCATTCATTTTGGTGGCCATCTTGGATTTCCATATAAAGCAATTCTTTCCTGACTTGGACTTAAATGAGTCATAAATGAAATCCTTGACCCCTAAACCCTTTCATTTTCTACAAAATTGCTTTTTATCCATTCCTTGAGCTTGCATATATATCAATACCGTAATAACATATTCGTTTTGGCACCTATTTTGCGGCCATCTTGGATTTCAATATAAGGTAATCCTATGATGACATAGCTTTAGACATGAATAAAATCTTCAGACTCTAAAACCTCTTCTAAAACTCTTCAAAATCATGTTGAAACGTTTTTGAGCTTGTATCATTTGTACATATTTGTTTTTGAACCAAATTTGGCGGCCATCTTGGATTTTCATATGAATTAATGTTTTGATGACTTGGATTTAGGCATAACTCAAATCATTGACCCCTAAAGCCCAGAATTAGACCCTAAAATCACTGATTTTGCCTCTCAATATGCTTAGATATAACTCCTTTTATTTAGTAGCAAGCGCACCGGCGGCCATTTTGAAAAATGGGTGATAACACCTATTAAGCTACCACTTCTGCAATGCTATCACATATTTTCTTACTCTAGGGGTCTAGACCTTCCCAAAAATCACCATGGCCATTATTCCCCTGATTTGGTACCGACCAACCCCCCAGGCTGATCGCCTATAACCTCTATTAATTATTGTCCCCCTCTCAGCTGGTTTAAACTTTTAAACAATTACAACAATTTTATGTCACCACCGCAAGTAGTGACATATTGTTACCGTCTCCAGCTTTTGTGTATCGGCGGTTGGTGTTCGGTTAATGCGTCTGTCACAAATGGCAGGTGGTGACATTTTTCTAATGCCTTCCTAATACCATGATACTCATTTGTTACAAATAATCTGCCAATTAACCCATTTGATTGAGAATTTAACTTCAGAAAAAGAATTCTTAAATACTCGGGGATTTTTGGAGTGGCAAATTCTCCCACCTTGTACAGTGATCATGATGTTCTCAGGACCTTCTCAATGAAGAAAATATGAATAGAAATATTATAATATAGAAAGTATTTTCCTATTGATACAACCGGACATTTTTTAAAAATAAATCACAGCTCTATTATCCTATTGTGATGCTACCTACAATGTAAGTGGGGTTTATTACTACTAAAATGACGTATTCGAACGCGGACTATACTTACTAAAGCGATAATTTCTATTGCACCGGGCCTCCGGCGCAGTGACTGAATTTATTGACTGGTGTGCAAACGATATACATGCATGTACATGTGTTGTATGCTTTTTTATTTTAAGAACGGGGGGGGGGGGGTAAGTTAGTATAGAAAGATACTTTTGGGGCTGGCTACAAACTTTCCGAAAACGTTCACCAACGTATGTTGAAAAATTTAAAATGAGGTCCATTTCTACTAAGTAAGGCTTTTACTTCAAAATAAAAAAGAATCACAAATAAAACCGCAACTCCTCGGCGATAACTCAACCTCAGTTTTTCTATTCCCGAATCGCCTATATACCCCATATTGACGAGAGCAATATTAAGTCATTTAGTATTGGTTTCCTGTGAAGGCTACGCATAAATATAAGCTCCATCCACATATCCAGCAATCGTAATGTTAAATCGGACATCACCTTATCTCCTAACTGGTACTATTACTGAGATTTCGTATCAACACTTTAGTCTACTAAATTAATGTTTAAAACTCATATATGTGAGCGTTAATGCAGGGGCATTTCATACAGGCTATAAACACCGCCCTTTCAACAAATGTGTTTTCTGGTTTCCTTAATTTCGCCAATTTCTTAAGAAATTGATGGATAATTTCAAGATTATATGATCAGACACATAAACATGGCATATACCACATTAGTTTGTCATATTTAGTTGTTGTTTTTTAGTTGTTGTTTTTTGTTGAACCATATATTACGTACATGGATAACTGTATTTTATTTACAAGTAGGCTGCATCTTGTATTGCCAAAACATAGCATCAAGTTTCACTAGAGCTGCATAGAACACTTCTTATCAGATGTGTTGACAGCTCTCCTGATAAAGAAAGTGTCTGGTAATTTCTGGATTTGATATGAAATAAAGGTACAGGTAAACGTAAACATATTGATTGTAAGTTGTATAGCTATAATATTAATCGGGTCATTTCAGTTGCAGCTTTAGTATGTGAAAAGGCGGTTAATATTCGACATTAACAACTCGATTTATGTTAAATTGGAAGCGATTTGGATCTTTGGTTAACATTAAACTAGCAGGCGTAATGGTCTGAAGTAACGGTTGATATTATAGACAATTATTTGACACATATAACGCATAAACTTTAACTTTATTTGGACGCGACTCAAAAGTCCAGGAAGTAAGATGGCGGATGAAAAAAGTATAGCATTTAGGATTCTTATCTTCGCTGGGTTTCTCATCAATACAGCGTCTGCCCAGCTTGCGAACAACTATGAATTAGCGCGTCTTAGGATCATCGGCACTGCCCTTGGAACGTGCTTCGCAGTCTTCTTAATTCTCGGCATTATAGCAATTTGCCTGTCCCACTATGCTGGCAAACAGAGGGAAAAGAACTATAGGAATATGCAGGCTGACAATTACGCAGGATCTGTGTATGCAGTTAGTCTTGAAAGGGGTTATTTAGGACCTGGACACGCTCAAAGTGTTAGTGGAAGCAGTTGGGTCAGTGGCCCAAGTGGACATACCTCGTACGCCCAAAGCTCATACGCTGGGTCTTACTATGGGCCAAATTAACGGATGTGATATAACTAACATACTCTATGGTGTCCATGTGTGTTAATTCCTAAAATGGAACAGTGACGATGTAAAGGAAAATGCTGTCCCACAAGAAGTTTTGTCCTAATATTTGGCTGGTCCCATCTTTGTATGACTAATAAACGGAATTAGGTCACCATGTAAATGTATGAAAACATCAACTCAAAGCGCCATTCATTATCGTACATGACGAACAAAGTGCTAACGGCTTTTTACCTTTGCTGATTGGAATAATTTCCCGGGATAATTTCATGAACTTCATATTGTATATAGATGCCTACATGGAGAGCATACTTCGTATGAGAAGGTCATATGTGTGTAAATTGTGCTATTTTTGTTTTATATAGCGTTATATAATAGGACAACGGGATAGGACACTTTCCTGGTATCGTGCGATAGAAATATTTGTTTCGCTAAAAGCTTATAGTTCGCTTCTACACGTTCGACATGTTCTATACATGGCTCTTCAGCTGTTTGGATTGCATTTATTTAACCCAGTATACAGGTATATACTCAACATTGTAACAGAAGATGTAAGACCCCATGTTTGCGTATTAACCATCAGTGACATATTTCAATTAGGAAACCAACTCTATTATGCCAAATTTGTGCAATGGGGTATCTAAGAACGGATCAATTGTGTGGAATTCTTCATGATTGTGTCATTCAATCCCATGACATGCATTTAATAGATTAGTGGTATGTGCTAAAAATATTGATATACAATCACTACGTTATTGATATTGTTACACAATTTAAGCTCAAGAATTTCTATAGATTATTACACGTTTTAAGCATATTATTCCATTGAGATCTTTGAATCTAAAAAATAAGCAATCGAAGGACCAAGTTGCAACAGTATATGAAAAAACGAACATATGTACAATGCCTAACTTTTATATATTTCAGATAGTTATGTATAATGTGCAGCTAAGCTGTGGCCTTTTGTAAACTTAGGGAGTTTCAGCCATGTCGAAAATAATATGGCAGAGAAGCATCAAAATATAAGAGGCCACACATATGATAGCCAAACTATAAAACAAACTTAAATATACAAAAGTTAGGTGTTTTGAATGATTGTGTTTCTATTTTTCATATACTGTTTCAATATGGTCCTACTATGATCCTGGTCCTACTATGATCCTACAATACGTGTAAATATGTAAACTATGTAACACTTGTAAAATTATACATTCACTTTTATAACTTTTTGTACAATTATAAGATCTTTTTTTCTAGGTTATTGTTATTTATTCATAATAATGTAAGATCAATGAATAAATGAATATATAAAGATATTTGAATAGTAGTTACTATTTTGAATTAGTTATTTCAAATCAATATTAAAGGAGGAGGGAAGTTAGCGCAACAGATTTTGGACAGTCATATGTTGGATTTCAGCCATTTCCTGGGGATTTAAACAGGTGCATATGTTAGGCGAATGTTTTACCTCCAGTAAAATCACTTCTAGAGATGATAAAATAATTTTGACTTTGAGACAGGGTAGATGCAAACAACCCACCCACATGTTTTTTCTGAAATGTTTTCCTGATTTTCAACCCCTTCCATCCTTTCTTTTTAATTTTTCTTGCATCAATATGTTGCGTTCTGACACACAGTTGATCCCTTAAAAGGAATAAATGATTCCATTTAGATAAAGTGGAAAACAATATTTCCCATGTTATTTTCCCATAGGAAAAATCATTGCTTTCAGCTAAGTTTGGTCACCCATAATGGGTATCTTTAAAACCCCTGAAGGAATCACTTATTCCTTTAAAGTTGTTAACTATGTGTCAAAATGCAACATATTGATGCAAGAAAAATTAAAAAAGCAGGGATGGAAGGGGTCGAAAAATAGGAAAACATTTCAGAAAAATCATGTGGGTGGGTTGTTTGCAACCAAAGTCGAAATTATTTTATCATCTCTAGAAGTGATTTTCCTGGAGGTAATGCATTGGCCTAACATATGCAATTGTTTAAATCCTCAGAAAATGGCCAAAATCCAACATATGACTGTACAAAATCTATTGCGCTAATTTCCCTCCTCCTTTACGATTAAAGTCTATACAATTCAGGGGTTACATGAAATTGTCTTAGAACACAGGGTGTGTACCAAATTAATTGTGACAGTTGAACGCGCGGGGTTAGGTACAACACAAAGGTGATGAAATGAGTCAACTGATGTTTTCATATATTTTCAGAAAGATCTGGTCTAATTTCTAGATATTGTTTTATGTAAATGTTTGTAACAACATCCTGGACAGTGAACTTGACAGTGAATTCCATAGTTAGATCTTAAGAAACTCCAAATGTAGTATACGGTGTAACGTGGGTACCGGTAAGGTACAACACGGAATGTGAATTTGCGTTACACCGTATCTCAGGTAAATGTACCCACGCGTTATACCATTATGCGTGATAATTCGAATAAAATTACGGACTTTTTTCGATCAGGTGTGTGGTTGACGAGCTCAACGCGACTAAAGGTGGTACGCGACTAAAGATTTCACGTTCGCGACGTGAGAATCATAGTTCGAGCGCAAGGAACTCAGTTCGCGAGGTCAGAACTGATGCTCGCGTTGATGGAAGTCTAGGAGGCCTGTAATATAATATGTTTGCCGGCGGCACTGCATTTTGTTGTCTCCCTCTAGTTGTTATAAAATCCAACTGATTCTGTGTGCATTCATGTCAGTCTCCGTGGCGCAATCGGTTAGCGCGTTCGGCTGTTAACCGAAAGGTTGGTGGTTCAAGCCCACCCGGGGACGTCATTTTTTATATGATTAAATAATGTATTTCTATAGTCAAACGTATATTACTATCAATTTGAGATAATTTCCTTTTTAGGCCACAATGGATCAGAAGTGTTCATAAAACAGCGCAAACGGCACCTCTATATTTACTAAAGAAACGTAATCCCTTTAATTAATAAACATTTAGAACATTTCAACATCTGCATGAGGGAAAGACTGATGAAACACGAAAATAGGTTGATTGAGCAAGAGCAGCTTCAAAAAGGACACATATGGACCAAGGATGTGACGGCATATACAGATTCTGATATAGTCAGATCAATTCACCTTTCCCAACCACCTTACTTAAAGCCCCACTATTGTTACTTCAGAAGAAAAAAAGATAAAATAATCTTTGAAACTTGTTACTCACATACTCAATCAAATATGATACAAAGGTTGATTTGCATTAATATTGAACCTAGTAAAAAAGAACACTTAGAAAAAAGCATTTGCAGTTCAGAGAGCATTGGTAGTGCACGCCCATGTCTGACAAAGTGCAAGTTTTAAATAACGTTTGATCTAAAAGATGGCGACACTTCTATAAAGATGAATTGATCCTATGATACAAACAACTTCGCCATCTTTCATTGACATTGGTAAAAACTTGATATATTAAACTTGACAGAGCAGCACGTAATGAAAACCTTTTAGACCAGTTCTTGCACAATATCAATTTGTTATACTTTTTCGTATAAAGATCATACGAAACTGTCAACCAGCGTCTATAATATAAATGGACGTAATTTTCGTTTCAAAACGGGATTTCCAAAATTTGCCAAAATCAAGTTTTTTGTCAACTTTATTTACATAAACAGACATTCAATATGTCCACCATTTCGATCAATTGTAGCCTTCAATTTTGGCTTAAACTGGTCAATGAATTCTCGTTGAGACGATGAATTCTTAAATTCTATCCTTAAAAGGGAATGGGGACAGTGAATGGGGACAACTAACAGAATCGGTGTACCATGAACCGTAAGGACAGATTTATCAAAAAGTGAAATCCATTGTCTCAACAGCATATCAATGGTGGTAATGACCAATTAAGGCCAAAATTAAGGGCTATAATGATCAAAATGGTGGACATATTGAACGTCTGACTATGTAAATAAAGTTGACAAAAAACTTGGTTTTGGCCAATTTTGGAAAACCCGTTTTAAAACGAAAATGAAGTCACTTATATTATGGACGCTTGTTGACAGACATTATGATAAATTTGAACTTAAATAATGATATACCATAAAACTTAATAATACTTATTATTTGGGAGAATTTAAACTTTTTCATTCATTTTTGCACTTTGAATCCATCATACCTTGACCAATTTATACTATATCAAGAATCTTTTGGGAGATATTGTATTTGAGATTGTGAGGAATAGATTGGTAGGTCAATTGTACATGTTGCTTGTAATTTTTGCCATCCCCATAGCTCTGATTCTGCCTTTAATTTTTCGGAATGATTTATAGTATGTATTGTGCATGACTGCATGTGCATGTGTACATACTAAACAGCTAAATTAGCGTATACTATAGGATACTTATATTCCTGATAATGCTGCATCGGACCAGTGCAATCAACTGATATTAAAGGGGAGCACCAGCATGGTCACATGATCAGTCGTGTGGAGGTAAGCTCCCAGTTGAAATAAAAGCACTGTCTTCCTTTGGTTTATGTGAAAAGTAGCTAATTCCCCCATGTATTGGTCAGTTTGTGTGTCACACGACTAATCCACACCATATGCTTCATTCAACATATTTTATGCTATTAAGCTGCATATATAAACAGTACTTTGCAGTAAACGTACTACTGGATGAACTAAGGTCATAAAGTATACTTACCCCTTGCAAATTGTAATTTATCGAATTCACAGTAAACCCATCAATTTTTAAGAAAACAAAGAATATTGTTCTCATGGATCTATTATTTATGTTAAACTTACTATGAAAATATAAATATGAAATAATATGTTAGCTTGAAGTCATATATAAGACGAAAATATATGTTCATGCATTTGCATTTTTCCAAAGGGAATATTCCCATTTATGTAAATACAGGTGCAATATATAATGTATAGGTATATCTATGTCATCTGTCTATACATGCGCGTATAGTGATACATGTGAACAAGATGGTTCTTGAAAGAAATGAGCGTGGCAGATTTGCTAAAAAGCCACATACACCACAAACGTAAGTAAGTTCATTATTCTCAAGGGTCCACTTCAAGTGATAGCTACATTGCTACAGGGTGGCCTATCATTCTGAGACAAATGTATTATCCAACGATTGTGATTTTCGAAGCTAAAATATGATATCTTCATAATGTATCTTGAGCAGATGTGCTCGCTCAACGTTGACTGTGGCAAGTCAATAGTAAAGCTATGGGTCATCTTTATAACAAAAATGAAATATTTTTAAACTAATTTTTATGTGTGTCATTGATCCTAATCCACCCTGTAGTCTGGTGTCTGTAGAGCATTGCACCTCGTACAACTTATTCTCACAAATATCAAACCTCATTTACTTATTAATTTTTTGTGTGAATATGAAGAGTCCAAGCATTGCTTTTTTATGTTTATTGTATAGCTATATTTAGCCTTGATATCCATGATTTTTTAAAACAAAAATTTGAAATTCTAAGACGGTGAAAAATCATTAAAAACACACAGATTCAGAATCCGGCAAGCATTTTCCCTTATTCCTCGCCGTTAAGAAGTTTTGTAAGGTGGTGGGTTTCTTTAAACTCTTGGAAGCTCAAGTCTAACAAAGTCAATTGGCAGGGTAGTAAACAGTCCATCTGCAAGGTATCACAGATTGTATCCTAAACAAATGTCGCTCGATAGCGCTTAACCTGCAAAAACATTTTCCTCTTAGTACCGATTTGCAAGCAGAATATTGTTAAGTACAGGAAAATATATACCAAAATACACAACACACTGCAACACAACACAACACAACATTACTTAATGTCACACGGTTGATTCTCTTTCATCTTCAGCTGCCCTTCCTTCATACTGTTTTTCACTTGTTAGCATCCACTTGACATCAGTCGTCGAGAGCTGTTTTTCATCTTCTCTGCTAGATTTTCTGTTAAGAATAATAAAATTAATGGAATAAATATAAAACAATTGCGATATAAGTCACTTTTTATGTCTTTAAAACCAGCTGCAAAGTAGCTATATTTGTCGAGAAGTGCACTCTAGCAAACAAGTCTTGCCTTTAAATTAAAATGTGTGCATATTACATACGTCATTCTTTTATATGTGTACTTTTCTGCCTTGGTTTTCCATTTTTCAATCTCTATGTGACTTTTAAGCATCGAGTCTTTCAGTTTAAGTTCAGATTCACTCTCAGTTGTGAACGGAGCTCTTTCTTTCCTTTCCTTTTTATTCTCTGCTATTGCACTTTTTATGTTCTCTGCGGCTTCCCTTTGAGAATATTAAATGTAATAATTAGAAGACATTTAGGATATTCTTGTTTTGTATAGTGTATTAGTCACTTTAGAATGTTTCTTTAAAACTAGTTGGAAAATAATGATATTTGCCTAGAACAAGTTTTGTCTATACAATAGCAACAGTTCTGTTGCATGATGTTACATACCCTGTCTTTGTCAATTCTTTGGTGACCTTCTGACCTTCATACTGTTTGACACTTTTTGGCTTCGAGTTAACATCACTTTGAGTCGTACGCAAGAACTTTGTTTTATCTTCTTTACTGTCTTGAATAGATTTGCTAAGAATAATAAATGTAATATTATAAAACAATCGGGACCTTTTTGTAGTTCATTGCATTGCTCAAAACTAATTGCAAAGTATTTACATTTGTCGAGAAAGGGTAACACTTGAATAGAAACAGAAAGTTTTCTTACACAATAGAAAACTATTTAATTTGGCATAATGTTATATTTCATTCACATACCTTCGAGTTAAGTAATGCCATGGTTTACGTATCAAGCGTCTAATTTTTTTCCGAAATGTGAGAGCTAGTATGCATGCAAACAGAAAAACTGAAAAACATATTTCTTATACATTCATATGTTACAGAACGATGTTTAATATTTTATATTTTCAAATATGTTTTATTGTTGTTGACAATCGTCTTTTTGATGGAGGAGGAGGGGTAAGAAATGTACAGACCACGTCTTGGGTTAAGGACGAGTTTGGCCTCTTTACTTTGAAACCGACTTCCCGATACTGAATATGGTGAACTATTTATCATGAATGCGATTGGGATTCTCCAAATTTGAGAAGGAATGGCATGATCGGACGGGACGTTTAAATCGTAACTCAATTTCATGAAATTGTAAATGAAAAGTACGTACGCGCAAATCTGAATTTAGACATGATCAATTTAGAGGCATTGTACATGTGGTGGCCAAATGCTTAAAATGAAAGACAATGATGAGCCTTTTAAATCAACGGGATGAGATTATCATGTTTCATTTTGTTCAATCAATTTACCCTATCCAATGTAGTCGCGAAAAATTTATGTTGCTGTTTGCCAGTACTAACCTATTATAACTAAAAACGGGTAAAACCAACCGAGAAATGTATCAGTAGATACACTAGAGGTGATTCTCTCAATGGCGGCGTTCTTGGTTGACGCTGTAATAGGCGTTGTCCCACTGTGATGGAAGAAGGAAGATGTTGGTTCTCTACAGGAATTGTATTATTATTATGTGCGCTGATACACGTATACAGAATTCCTTCAAATATAAATCTTTTCCCTCTGCAGTTACCATATGGCTGTGCATATACAGATTTACAATACGTATGTCCGTTGCAATGTTCCTTTAGTTCTTTTAGGCGTATCTGTTTACGGTCATTTACACCAACATTCTTGTTACAGTCATTACTTGACCATTTTTAACCACAGTGACATGGTATTTTTGGGTTCATATGTTGCATATGAAACATCTAAGATCTTTAAAGATTCCGCATCATTGCAATATAAATGCATTAATCTATTTTTGTACGCTGCAGTTGACTTTACGCATACATAGCAAATTTTTGTCATATATTCGCAATTCATTGAACTACACAAGGGACAGTTTGTTTTTTGAGTAGATGCGAAATCACAAGATCGCTTTCCAATGCATTTTTTTCTTGAGGTGATACATGTATGTCTGTTAAAGTATTGTCGCTAGTACATGGGCAAGATCCTATATTATCACCGTCACATGCCATATGAGAAGCAGTTGTTATCCAAATTTGCAGTTCATTAGGACACGACAGTGATATGGTACTTCCCAACTCTCCCCTTGTACAAACTGAAACATTTCTGTATTAATTACAAATAACAGCACATGATGATAGAATGCTATAAGTAACATATTTTAGGATAATGAACGTTTAAAAATCAATGTTACTTAAAGGGTTTTGTAAGTGAGATACTAGTATGCCAATACAATCGGAATTTAATTAACCCTATGATTGGTATTAAGAAAAATTGAGCATATTGCGTAAATATTTAACAAACAATGTTATTCCAACATCATTAATATTTTCTGCTAAAGGTGATAAGAAATAGAACATCATTTAGAGGTATTTACTTATTTTGCAATACAGTCATATTATGTAGTTATGACATGATAAGTTGCGATAACCCATAATTTTAAAGATATTGTAATTGAGATATAGTCATAAGAAGTGTAATTCAAATCTTGACCTTTTGATTGATATTGAAAAATAATATGGTGGACTAAGTGTTGCAAGCCCTCATACGTCTGGTAATCTAGGATCCCGTCTTAGATCGCCTTCTAAATCCTGTTTATGTTTGGCAATTTAAAAAATCAATCAAACTATAATGTTGGAGTGAATTATTGTATGTCCGCGGTGCTAGCGAATTGCGTAACATTTTAATGAGTTTTCGCACAAGGTATCACTAAAAAGAACAATAAGCCCTGCAGTGCAAATTGCATGCTCATGTGTTTCAACACAAATAGCTCATCCAAGCGCACTTACACTCACTAATTCTTTTGAAAGACATCACGGTTTATTGCGATCGAACTTCTGTAGTGCAATAGCAACTAGCCAATGCGGTTGACATACGCAATTACCCGACAAGCTTGACACATCGTAATAAGCGGTACCGGTGTAAGTGCGCTTGATTGAATTGTTTTTGTTGAAAACGTGCGACCAGGTAATTTGCACCACAGGGGCTTATTGTTCTTTTTGTAATACCTAGGGGGAAACGTATTAAATATTACACCGTTGACTTGCATGGCGGCCAGTTCAAAAACGCAGCCTTGGTCCTATGTATGTTTTTCCAAAGGATGCTAACATTCTCAAAACAATGTCAAGTCAAGTATACTCATTTGATATGACTTGAGACTTTAATATATGATGTATTTATATTTAGCAAATATAAATCATGTTTGTTCAGCTTTATGAAATGGCTCATGAATCTTGTCCAAAGTCTAGTTATGTGTAGTAGATCAAAATTTGCTTACCTTCTAGATCTGCTTGAGCCAATGGAACCATAAATGCAATAAAGAGCCAGTTGATGAATATAAGCGGCTTCATCCTCGTCCTTTTCATAGTATTACATAACTACTGACTTCATCGACTCATCAATCTCAAACATAGATTAAAACTTTAAAACTCGACACACTTATATTATGAGATAAAAGTGAATACTAGGTGGACCAAAATTCTTCAAAACTGCCTCTAAGACTTTTATCTTAGACGATTTTTATTATCTTCTTTTAAATGCAAGGTGCAAGACAGCCCCCTAAGACCAACCAGTTTTGACGGCATATGGCAATATTTTTGAGTTATGGGGTAGCACACTTTCAAAGTTAACTTAATTGATTGAAGCAACTACGTTGACCAATATGTTTGTTTTTATAAGTCCCTTTTACTCAGCTGAATGATGCATCATTGTATTTTCAGGTACTGTTATCTGACCGAGAAAACTACAAGAAGACCAAGGCAATCATATAGAAGTAATTTCAATACATGCTTAGAATATCTATAATATATATATCTAATAATCTGGATATCACAAATAGTTGTAGATACAGTATTCAACATTCATAATCAGTGTCAACGTCCGCAAGACGAGTGTCAAAATAACAGCCTTCATTCGTAAAAGAATTTAAACACATAGCCCAAATATCTAGGGTTTAATGCCATCGACGCGCGAAGAAAAAATTATCAATTAAGAGTGCAAAAAAATTCTCCACATCTACGTAGACTCTTCCCAACTTAGATTTGTATATTTTTGTGTCCACCCTGTAATTCACGCATATAACACATCACGTTTATTAGATATTTGAAAAACAATTACGTTTATGTCAAATGTTGATAATGTTAATAGCATATCAAGATACGTTTCGTTTTGTTTTGTTCAAGTTTAAGTGACTCTAAACAATTACTTGTAATGTCATACTGACCTACATTATCTAATCAGTATTTAGAAGTGAGAACATGACACCTATTTAAAACGACGATTGTATTAAAGTATCTCACAACATTTAACATATCTGTATAATACTGTTAAATTCATCTAACTTAACGTATACTGTTAAACTACCCTTTGCAAGACTTTTATACACTAGTTCATAATAATTTGGGGAATACATATACCATTTCATGGCATATAAGGTATTAGGATTTACCCCAAACATTCCCGTCCCTTGATCTGCTCAGTTGCTCATTTTAAATTATCATTTACATGTTTGACTCATAATTGTTTGTGCACATACCGAAAATATACCAATTACTGTATTTATTTATTTATTTATTTATTTATTTATTTCGATCTACACTTTTGAAACAGTGGCACGCTCTGCAATGCAAAGGTGCGTCGAATGTACATGTTAAGATAAAACAATTATTACAACTTACTAAAAACATTCATTTTGAGCATTTAATATAAACTGATTTTAAAAACCTTTTAAAACACTTGTCAAACATTCTACCTTGTTCTTTCCCCCAAATTTCAAAGACATCATCCCTTAACATATATAAGAAGTAATTTTGCCTAATCATTTAATTTGCCTATTTCCTAATTTTTGCCAGCTTCGGAAAATTAAATGTCGGAAATATTGTCTTTATAATGTTATCCAATGGGAGGTTTCTTGTCATTAGGAAAATTAAAATTAGGAAAATGATGAAATTTGACCATTCGGAAAATTAACCACTCGGATTAAATACCACTTATACAGTATCTTCGTGCGAGTCATTCCAATAAATGAGCCTGGCCCTAGGAAAACCGGTCTTATCACAAAAATTAGAATTGTGCTACAGAGCCACAAATGAGCCCAAGATTTAGAGGAAAATGTGCTAAATTCAAATCCGACTTTTTGGTCTATATATGCAAGGAAAAATTGTTAAGACATAAGCCATGGCTCATTTGAAAGGTCTCTTTGTCCTTTCTAAGATAAACAAAAAATCAGAATATTGAAAAAAATCTGTGATAAGGCCCCTTTTCCTGTGGCCTGGCTCAAATACAGACTCGTCTTTTCGGGGGTTGTCACCAGCAGACTGAGTCAAATGTCCAAACTGCGAACACCATGGTTGGTTAGTATTCCCCATGCCAAAGTTATGTAAGATGGCTACTGTACATCGGGAATTAGTTTTATTGGAAGATGGATTGATTCCATCTTGATTGGTATATTGCATGTATGGTCAATGTAATTGCTCATCATTTTATGTATGTTTGTATTGATATAGGAAACAATAATTATGTGCAATAATTGATTACTATGCATGTATTGTTAAGTTCTTTTGGCATAAAAGATCTAGTGCGCTCTCCATTATGATTTCCGCATGAACAAAATTAACCATTTTTATATGTAACGTATAGAATACTATGTCACATAATACTTTGGAAAATATTTAAGCATTTGGACCCGCATGGGCTGAGGTTGAGGACATTAAGTTCAGCAAGGGTGTATTAACTTGACATTGCATGTGCTCCATTGACTTAATACACTATGCCCTGAATCGATTGCAAATTAAATATAGCATGACGGTTACGACAAGGCGATTTGCACAATTTTGCGGTAACGATAACAAAAAATGGCGGATGGGAGAGACAGCGTGTCCTCTTTCTTGCCTGTAGGAAAGATTCACAGTTCCATTCGGTGACGTATATATGGATGGTTATAAAGACTTGGTCAAATTTGCCAGGTGGTTTACTAGAAGCGGAATATAAGCTGTAAACTTACCGACTGAGATGTCCAAGTTCATATTTTTTAGTCCATTCTCAGTATATGTGCCTCGGGGCCACTCAAACTAATAACAGTAAGTAAACTGTGTATAAACAAGCCATAAAATGACAAATCCAGAACAGGAACGTGGTCATATTGGAAATAATAAGGTTTCAAACGCAATGTCGTTAGACGACTACGTATGAATTCTATAGACGGTAACGTATTGTATTAGATGTACATTAGATATTAAGCGGACGGTTACGGTCATACTTCAAATTTTCATCATTTTTTCTTACAAAATGGCCATAGAAAAATGCTTCAAAAGCCACTTTTACACTTATGGAATGCCATATAACTTTGTAAATCCAAATATTACACTGTTATGTTTCATTAATTAATAACATATTTGGATAGGATGTATGGATGTGTAGGATGCAAATGGATTTTGACAGACACAAAAATACTTCCTGGTTTGGAATCTATGCCTCTATGACCCTAATAAGTGGCCCATACGTCAATATAGTGCTCAATGTAGGTCAACAAGATACTAGTGTGCATATAAATGTGATAATAAAAGCAGTATACACATTTTGAAAAATCAGATGAACATTTTTTTTCATTTTTCATGGGGAGATCATAATGGAGAACGCACTAGTTCCTTTGGCATAAAAAGCATTTGTGTCTCTTCCCTTGATCTGCTCAGTTGCTAATTGGACGGAACATAAATTCGTGTTGTTGTAAGAACAATCTGTTTAACGCTGGCAGTTGGTAACGTATTCATCGTTAAAACGAGTTATTGCTCAGGAATGATCTAGGCCGCGTTTTTGAAGTACCCGCGGGCAAGTGCATTGCATAAAATATAATAAGTATCCCCCTTAGGTATCACGAAAAAGAACAAAGAGCCCATGCGTTGCAAATTAGATGCCCATACGTTTTCAACTAAAGTAGTTCACCCAAGCGCACTTACACCGCTAATAACGATGTGTCAAACTTGTCGGGTAACAGCGTCTGTTGTCAACCGCGCCGGCTTGTTGCTAGCTAGTGTACCACGCACAGGAGCTCGATTTTAATAAACCGTGAAAGGGGGCTTTCAAATATCCTTAATACAGAATCCTATGGAAGGCGGACAATGATGAATAGGTGGATAATAATAAAGCGCATTCCCCGTTTTATCAACTACGTCATCGAAGAGAATTCCCTAAAGGGTATTCCCCGTTTTCATCTAATACGTCATCGAAGAGAATTCCTGCAATATCCGGCTTAAACCAGTTTAAATAATCTTCGGAGAGCAAACTTTCTGTAAATTGAACTTACCAAGTTATGAATGTTTTATCCAACATGATTCTAAAATACTGTACTATACAGAAAGATCATATATTGTATTGCAGCATATGCAGCATCCAAGCTGGATGGCTTTTTAGGCTATACATAATGTCAATGTAGATCAATTACTTGTGTCCCTGATACTGGATAAATTTGAGAAAGGAATGCCTTACATGAGACTAAATTCTATCCAAGTAACTTTATTCACATGTCAGCCAGTTAAAATACGCATGAAAAGGGAAGAAATAGGAAAATGGACTGGGAGAAATTCATAACGCACTAAAATAATCTGATCTTAACACTCTTTGTTTTGGTTCTACGTTTGTAAATGCTTGTAGTCTCCTTAATTCATGTTTAGAACTCATATATATGAGATTTCCACTTTATAAAAAATTAACGATAATATCAAAATTATATGATAAGACACATACCCTGATATGTGCCACATATGTTACACATTTTAAGTTTTATTATTTTTTATTTCACCATATAAAATCGCACAATGGAAACTGTATTTTATTTACAAGTAGGCAGCATCTTGGGAGACCAAAACATAGCATCGTGTTTCACTGGGACTGCTTTAGAACACTTCTTATCAGTTGTGTTGACAGCTCTCCTGATAAAGATTTGACTGGTCTTTTCTGGATTTGTTTTGTAAGAGATAACGGCAACTCCAAACAACTCAAGACTTATGAATTGCCTAAGAGGGTCATTCAGCTCTTTAGCAAGCATCCCATTGTTTCACCGGAATAGCCTGACTACGGTAAAGTCAGATACCGTTGTCACAAATGGCGGACATAACCGTCGCTTCAACTGTTTATCGTCGCTAATTCTGTGCATGCATTAAGCTCTTGTGATAATGTATCATATGGAATCCCATTTTCGATAAAATTGGGTCGCGAATCGCTACAATATAGCGTCTTCGAAATCGTCAATGACAACGGAATCTGAATTTGAGTAATTTAGAAAGACAACGGCATTTGGTAATTACAGTGTCCGTTGTCCCGTATCTCATTTTGATCGGTTAAATTTAATACTTTATTTCGATGGTAGAACATTATTATTTGTAAAATGAATATAAAGACACTTTGATTGATTGTTGTTCCAAAGGAATTTAGTCTAGGTGCTC